TCAGCAGGTATTCTGTTGAATTGAAGGCACTCTTCAGCAGGTATTCTGTTGAATTGAAGGCACTCTTCAGCAGGTATTCTGTTGAATTGAAGGCACTCTTCAGCAGGTATTCTGTTGAATTGAAGGCACTCTTCAGCAGGTATTCTGTTGAATTGAAGGCACTCTTCAGCAGGTATTCTGTTGAATTGAAGGCACTCTTCAGCAGGTATTCTGTTGAATTGAAGGCACTCTTCAGCAGGTATTCTGTTGAATTGAAGGCACTCTTCAGCAGGTATTCTGTTGAATTGAAGGCACTCTTCAGCAGTTATTCTCCAAGTGCCTCAGCAGGGGTCTTGTGGCTGTATAACGTCCGTTACTATGCATGCGGGTCGGGTGGGGGATAGTAGCAAACCTGTTCCGGATCATCATATTGGTGCGACTTTTGAGAATTCTCAAAAGATCATCATCCAGTCGTTCACAGCAGAGGGGGTTGAACCCACATAGGTGAGTGCGACTATACGCCGTCTGTGACTGTGTGTGTTGGTTATAACAAGAATGTTATAGGTGTTCCACTCTCCGGCAACGTGACTGATAGAAGACAAGCTCATTTCATGGCATCTTTTCTTCAGCACCTATGATTCGCCCATGAAAAGGCGAATCTTTTGTATGCCCCCGTCTCCGGCATTGCAAAGGCTACTACACAGGTGGTGCTGCTTATTGAGACGTCTCAAAAATTAACCTATGATTTGCCGGACCCGCTTCTCCAACACAACATAGGCTTTTACTCAGGTGGTCAGGTCCCTCTTCCAACACTACACAGGCTTATACTCATCTGGTGCTGCTTTCTGAGACATCCTGAAAACCAGCCTAGCTGATTTGCACGACCCCACTACACAGGCTTTTACTCAGGTGGTGCTGCTTTTTGAGACAACCTGAAAAACAACCTAGCTGATTTGCATGACCCCACTACACAGGCTTTTACTCAGGTGGTGCTGCATCCCTCTTCCTTTCATCCCTTTGCTCAACTCTCCAATCTTCCTTCGTTTGGCAGCAAATGTGCAAGCCTGGCAGCGGCAGCGGCGGGGAGCACCAGGAGTGCAAGTGGCAGTCGTGAACTCTGGCCACTCAAATGGGGAGCCCCAGTGCCCCACTCAAATTTGTGTAAATTTTAGTGCGAAGCTCGAGGAGCAATGTTAGCTCGTACCAGCAGCTGAAGTTGACATTGTGGACCCCCCCCCCATGAACAGCTGGATAGGATACCACTGTACATCGGCTGGCTCAGAACTGCCTAGTACCGGTAAGCCGAGAATTAAGGTACGGTAGCAGACTCAGGAAACAGAGGAGGTTGGCACATCAGCTTTCTAGTCTGATTTGAGCACTCTCGGATTAGGGATTGTACAGCTGTGTTCTGGTTCTGGTTATTGCTGAAATTCTTTCACAAGTAAATTATGGCGGTACGGTACAATGCGTAATTTCAGAATCGGGTTGGAAAGTGCTAGCACTTGTGCATTACGGTACATCCTGCTGCTGCCTGCTGCATTCACTGCCGCAAATCACTTGGACAACACAACAAGAGTTTGACATCAGAGATGATTCTTTCTTGCGCCCCATCCAAAGACAGAAAGTACCTTCGTAAACCCTATACCCTGCAAAAAAATAAGGATACTGGCATTTGATTGAGCTGACCCTCAGCAGGAAGATGCTCACACAAACTAGTTCCTCCTGGCACGCGCTGTTAACAACCACCAAAGCTGGGTGCTTCCTGTATGATCCCCCTAAACCACAACTGTTTGACATGATAATACCGTACTACACTGCACAACTCACCCAGAAACCCTACAGACACATTGGCATTTGGAAATCTAAACCCTATTAACCACTCCATCAAAACACCTTCAGTAAACCTACATCTGTCTGCCTTGAGAATTATTCAGCTGCACAAGAGGCCCTGTAACTTGTTCCCGTCCAGAAGCACACTTAGCCTCCCTAAAACCCTCATGTCAGAATTACATACTCGTTTCCAGTTCCTTTCCTGATAGAATCACACACACCTCCTTCTAGAGTCACTTTTTAACGATTCATCAGCAGGAACTCCCCAGCAGCAGCCGCAGCAGCAGCAGCCATCAGATACACCTGGCCCCGCTACAGTCACACGGCCTACTCCTCGCCGCTGCTCCTCATACAATCACATTTCACTAGATACCAGCAGGAACGCCCCAGCAGCAGCTCTCAGCGTGGCAGCAGCATGCCTCCACTTCTCCTCAGGAGCCGTGGTAGCCATCAGATACACCTGGCAGGCCCCTCGCTATACTCACATGCCCCCCTCGTCTCCCCGGCTCCTCATACAATCACACCTGCTTAAATCACCAGGAGAAAGGCCCCAGCAGCGGCTCTCAGCCTGGCAGCAGCAGGCCTCCACTTCTCCTCTGGAGCAGTCGCAGCCATCAGATACACCTGCCCCCTCGCTACACTCACACTCATCGCTCCATGCAGCGCCTTCGGCCCCTTTCCAGTCACAAATTCGTACAGGTAATACGTGCGTGTAGCACGCCTAGGTGTAGCAGTGAACGCGCGTTTCGCCAGTACCCGCGAGCCAGGTGGCACGAAGAGACTGGCCACTTCCTCAATCGGGCCAAAATCGGACACGTCTTTGGGTTCGAAGAACGAAAGTTTTACGTCCGCTGCCCGGCGGTAGATCACCGTAATGACTTCTGATTCGTCCGCGGAGACGAACCGGGCAAGCAGAGGAGATTTTTTTGCCCGGTTTTCGAGGCCTACGGTTGACATGGGCGCGTCTAGTGCCTCTTCGTCTGGCTGGGGGGTAACATCGACGAAACCAGGTGGTAACCGCACGGCGAAATCTTCGCCGCGCACTCGCTGCCAGCTCGCCACGTCGAGCACCTCGCTGGCGGGACGACGGGAGGAGGCCTGCTCGGCGGAAGGCTGCGCGGAAGGCTGCGCGGAAGGCTGCGCGGAAGACTGGGTCGGAGTGGTGGAGCTGCTACTGCTACTGCTGCTGCTCGGGTTGGTGGTAGTAGCCGGGGAACCCCCGTCTAGGGTTGCTGCTGGTGCTGCCTCTGGTGCCGCTGGCGCTGCTGCTGCTCGTGCAAGTTCTGTTGCTGCGGCTGTTGTAGCTTCTCCTACAATCACGCTCGTTTCAATCGCGCTCGCCGCCTCGTCAGCGGCGGCGAGCCCCGGAAGCAGCGGCTGCGCGAAGAACGCGGCGGAGATCGCGGCGGTGGTCGCGAGGAGGTTCCTTCGCGTCGCGGCTGCTGATGTGGAGGCAGGGAAGCCTGCGGATGGGGCAGATTCGGCCGCAGAATCAAGGGTTGCGCGTGCCTGACCGCACAATTTCGACAATCTTCGCGAAGGAATTGTCGAGCTTCGCGAATGTAACTGGCGAGAAGCGAGCCAGGATCGCGACGACGCCAAGCCTGACGCGCGAGGCTCGGCAGGTGTGGATCGAATTCGACATTGCGAAACTGAATGCGGTCGCGAGTCAGGCCCGAGGGGGCTTGCTCCGGGAACCGGGCAGGAAGTCGGCGCGATGCAATGCGACGCGAGGACGGACGCCATTGGAGAAAATAATCGAGAAATGCGGAGAACGCGCTAAGTCGCAACCGAAGGAGTCACGCAGGTGACAGGGACGACGAATGCGGCCTGCGTGCGCTTCGCTAACTCTTGGCGACGCTGTGCGTCGCACGTACTAACGAAGCCTAGACCTAGAACTTGTGTCTGATCAAGAGAGCCAGCATTTTGAATTGGTGAGGGAGGGAAAGGGAGGATAACAAGCGAAATACGCGTTATAGAAGCACATTTGTAGTTTTGAATGTTTTTTTGGAGTTTCCTGGGTCTATCCCGAATGTTCGAAATCGTAAGTTGCCAGGTCATGAGGTACTATCGAAGTATGCTGATGTGGCTTCAATTACTCTGCATAAACCATGTCACAAATCCCATTCGACACCTGTCGGCTCAGAAGGTGGCCACATCGTCATAGTACCGCCTTGTCAAGCAACAGGCTCGTGGCGACTGCTGGTAACCTCGAATCAGCAACGTCGCACTTCTGTCGCTGAAAACTCTCGCAAGCTCCGAACCAATCACAGTACATTCGCTGTCAGTACTTCACCGCAAATCTCGTTCTCCCACAGCCAATCCACTCTGCTCCTCCCCATCCCAACCAAATCTCAAATCCCCCCCTTTGCCCTTGCTTGTCATTCTTCAGACTTGAGACTTCAGGCCCTGAACCACTGCAGACCTTCTTCCTGACGTGGCTTGAATTAGTTGCTAAAATAATAAAGCTGTCTCTTGGAGTTTCTTTCTTCAGGCAGCACAATTGCAAGTTTCAGGAGTTGAAGCTTACAATGGTCTTAGGACGCGTCACCTCTTTCAGTTGTATCAGTCGTCTTCGGAACCGTTGCTGACGTAGTATCTTATCGTCTCGTGCTCCTCATTAGCCACTCAGGAACAGTTTTCGTTTCACGCCGCTTCTGAAACATTTTTTAGCTCATCTCCTCACTCCATACAGCTACTCGCTGCATTTGGAAAGCGCCAGTCCGCTTCAGTCAACTTTCGTCAGTGCTCCGTGTCCAGCAACCATGAATTTACCTGTTGCAGCCTCCGTTTCTATTCGCAACTCGCCTCTGGTCCATCCGCCAACCAGCCGCATTTGCCTCGCTCCATCTCCTGGATCCTCTTCCGAACCTTCTCTAGAAGACAGGCAATGCAGAGCACGCCTCAGCTGTCAGCTACAGGGAAATGCCGGAAACTCCGGCAGAGAAGTTTCCGGAAGAATCTGTTTGTGGAATGGCAAGGCGGCTCGTTGCACTGAATCTGATTACTCAAGGAGGGTAAGAAGCGGCTCGAGAAGTAATGGGAGAACTGTCATGAGAAGCAGTATGTGGTCGGAAGGGTTCAGAGACGAATGGACAGGCGGATCCTTCTCTTCCAGTAAGGCGTTACATTCAGCAGCGTTCATTGGTGGGACTAAGAGCGTGAACCGTCGCGATACTTCTCGGGTTTTTATGTCGGCATCGGAAGCTTCCAGTCAGGCCGCAACGACTCAGGTCAGTCTCATCTTCGTCAGGTTCATGAATATGTATATGGTCCCACATTGTTGCATTCTCATGGCCAAATAACGTCTCACCATGTGGTAATGACAAGGTTGGTTGACATGTCGTGCAAAAGCCGAAAACACCGATTCCGAAATTTCAGTGGCTGAGCGATCGAGACCCTCGGCAAAGTTGCTCCGATATTAGCTCAGAACGAACAAAAGCAAAGTAAGCCTCGTGCGGTGTATTCTAAACCCTCTCTCTTTCGGTCGACGCTAGACCTGTTGCTCATTCTAGCACTCGTCCTTCGGCAAACCTCTCTACTCCACTTACATCCATCCTCCTTTCGCAGCGGCAAAACGAATCAAGGGATTTGCGGCATACCCAACAACAAGAGCAACTATCGCAACAGCAAAGACAGCAACCACAGCACGAGCAACCGTGGAACCAGCAGCAGCAGCAGCAGGAGCACGAGCAGGCAGAGCAAGGGACGAAGGCGTCGCACGGGAAGAAAGCGGGACAAGGGAAGACCCAACAGTCGCAGGCGCAATGGCAAGCAGCGATCAGCAAGTCAGGCGTGAAATCAGCCGCAGCACCCATGGGAACCGAGCGGCACCTAGCGACAGCCATGCTGTTCCTCGTAGCCCTCTCCGTGTGTCTCTGGCTGGACGTGAAAACCGCAATGGACCTGCTTGTATCGGGTACGAGGGCGTTCGTGCAGCTGACAGCCGTCGGATTGGGGCTCAAGTACATCTTCACCGTTGACAGCGCGCATCCCGTCTTTGTCGCCGTGGCAGTCATGGTAAGAGCCCATGCCCATGCAGGGTGAATGGCCATGGGGGGAACTGAACTTCGGAGGAATAAACGGGTGGGGGGAATGAACAGCGCGCATCCGGTCTTTGTTGTCGTGGCCGTCATGGTAAGAGCATGCAGGGTGAATGGCCATGGGGGGGAGAGATTGAACTTGGGGGAAATGAACGTGGGGGGGAATAAACAGCGCGCATCCGGCCTTTGTTGCCGTGGCAGTCATGTGTGAGAGCCCATGCGTGAATCGGAAATGGGGAATGAATGCTTGGTTTTTTTAGATTTGTACAACGGGGACAAAGGTGGGGTGGGTGAATGTGTGGGGGGAATGAGCGTGAACGTGAAGGAAATGAGCGAAGGGGAATGAACGTGGGGGGAAATAAACTTGGGGGAAAATGAATGTGGGGGAAAATGAATGTGGGGGAAAATGAACGTGGGGGGAAACCAACGTGGGGGAAAATGAACGTGGGGGGAAACCAACGTGGGGGGGAATGAACGTTGGGGGGGAATGAACGTGGGGGGGAATGAACGTGGGGGGGAATGAACGTGGGGAAAAACCAACGTGAGGGGGAATGAACGTGGGGGGAAATCAACGTGGGGGGAAACCAACGTGGGGGGAAGTCAACGTGGGGGGAACCCAACGTGGGGGGGAAATGAACGTGGGGGAAAATGAACGTGGGGGGAAATGAACGTGGGGGAAAAAGAACGTGGGGGGAAACCAACGTGGGGGGGAAACCAACGTGGGGGAGAAACCAACGTGGGGGGAAACCAACGTGGGGGGGAAACCAACGTGGGGGGAAACCAACGTGGGGGGGAAACCAACGTGGGGGGGAAACCAACGTGGGGGGAAACCAACGTGGGGGGGAAACCAACGTGGGGGGAAACCAACGTGGGGGGGAAACCAACGTGGGGGGAAACCAACGTGGGGGGAAACCAACGTGGGGGGGAACCAACGTGGGGGGGAAACCAACGTGGGGGGAAACCAACGTGGGGGGGAAACCAACGTGGGGGGAAACCAACGTGGGGGGGAATGAACGTGGGCTTCACTTTTCTTGGGTGTTGAATTTGATGACCTTCATTTACCAGAGCCACTCCCCACTCCCCCCCCCCCCCCCAACCCACTCCCCATTCCCCCCCTCTCCCACATTCCCTCTTCCCCTTCCCCTCCCCCCCCCTCCCCTTTGCCTCGTCGTCCTCACATATACCCCTCGCGTTCCAACCCGCTACCGCACCTCCCTCCCGCTTGTCCCTTTCTCTCGTGCACTCGCCCCCAAACCTACGCCTCTATCTGTTCCGCTTCCCTTTGCTCAATCTCTCCTCCCACTCCACTCCTTTCCCCCCCCCCCAGATCGTGATAGCAGCCTACACAGCCTCCCAGAGAGCCAAGTCAGTGCCTCGAGGCTTCTGGGTGGCGCTGGTGGCGGTGGCTACTGGCACTGTCACTGCACTCTCGCTCCTTGTCAGCTTGCAGGTGAGATTTACAGCCTTGGGCCTACTGTGAGGGCTATTGGGGTAGTGGGAGAGTGATGAGCCAGGCTTCTGGGTGGCACTGGTGGCGGTGGCTACTGGCACTGTCACTGCACTCTCGCTGCTCGTCAGCTTGCAGGTGAGAAGAGCTGCCCTAGGCTTACTTTGAGGGTTACTAGAGCTTGGGATCAAGTGAGTGGGGGATGAGCCAGGGATTCTGGGTGGCGCTGGTGGCGGTGGCTACTGGCACTGTCACTGCGCTGTCGCTCCTAGTCAGCTTGCAGGTGAGACCTGCCCCAGGCCTCCGGATGAGGGTTATTAGAGCGTTGAATCAAGTCAGTGCCTCGGGGATTCTGGGTGGCGCTGGTGGCGGTGGCTACTGGCACTGTCACTGCGCTGTCACTCCTAGTCAGCTTGCAGGTGAGACCTGCGGCCTGCCCCAGGCCTCCGGATGAGGGATATTAGAGCGTTGAATCAAATCAGTGCCTCGAGGCTTTTGGGTGGCGCTGGTGGCGGTGGCTACTGGCACTGTCACTGCTCTCTCGCTCCTCGTCAGCCTGCAGGTGAGAAGAGCTGCCCTAGGCTTACTTTGAGGGTTACTAGAGCTTGGGATCAAGTGAGGGATGAGCCAGGGCTTCTGGGTGGCGCTGGTGGCGGTGGCTACTGGCACTGTCACTGCGCTCTCGCTCCTCGTTAGCCTGCAGGTGAGAAAGGCAGCCCCAGGCTTCCAGATGAGCGTGGTACTGAGGGATGGGATGTCGAGCTGGGGTTGTGGGTGGCGTTGGTGACAGTAGCGGCTATAGCTGGTGGTGGTGGGTGCTGGCACTGTCACTGCACTCTCGCTCCTTGTCAGCTTGCAGGTGAGATTTACAGCCTTGGGCCTACTGTGAGGGCTATTGGGGTAGTGGGAGAGTGATGAGCCAGGCTTCTGGGTGGCACTGGTGGCGGTGGCTACTGGCACTGTCACTGCACTCTCGCTGCTCGTCAGCTTGCAGGTGAGAAGAGCTGCCCTAGGCTTACTTTGAGGGTTACTAGAGCTTGGGATCAAGTGAGTGGGGGATGAGCCAGGGATTCTGGGTGGCGCTGGTGGCGGTGGCTACTGGCACTGTCACTGCGCTGTCGCTCCTAGTCAGCTTGCAGGTGAGACCTGCCCCAGGCCTCCGGATGAGGGTTATTAGAGCGTTGAATCAAGTCAGTGCCTCGGGGCTTCTGGGTGGCGCTGGTGGCCGTGGCTACTGGCACTGTCACTGCGCTGTCGCTCCTAGTCAGCTTGCAGGTGAGACCTGCCCCAGGCCTCCGGATGAGGGTTATTAGAGCGTTGAATCAAGTCAGTGCCTCGGGGCTTCTGGGTGGCGCTGGTGGCGGTGGCTACTGGCACTGTCACTGCGCTGTCACTCCTAGTCAGCTTGCAGGTGAGACCTGCGGCCTGCCCCAGGCCTCCGGATGAGGGATATTAGAGCGTTGAATCAAATCAGTGCCTCGAGGCTTTTGGGTGGCGCTGGTGGCGGTGGCTACTGGCACTGTCACTGCTCTCTCGCTCCTCGTCAGCCTGCAGGTGAGAAGAGCTGCCCTAGGCTTACTTTGAGGGTTACTAGAGCTTGGGATCAAGTGAGGGATGAGCCAGGGCTTCTGGGTGGCGCTGGTGGCGGTGGCTACTGGCACTGTCACTGCTCTCTCGCTCCTCGTCAGCCTGCAGGTGAGAAGAGCTGCCCTAGGCTTACTTTGAGGGTTACTAGAGCTTGGGATCAAGTGAGGGATGAGCCAGGGCTTCTGGGTGGCGCTGGTGGCGGTGGCTACTGGCACTGTCACTGCGCTGTCGCTCCTCGTCAGCTTGCAGGTGAGATTTACAGCCTTGGGCCTACTGTGAGGGCTATTGGGGTAGTGGGAGAGTGATGAGCCAGGCTTCTGGGTGGCACTGGTGGCGGTGGCTACTGGCACTGTCACTGCACTCTCGCTGCTCGTCAGCTTGCAGGTGAGAAAAGCTGCCCTAGGCTTACTTTGAGGGTTACTAGAGCTTGGGATCAAGTGAGTGGGGGATGAGCCAGGGATTCTGGGTGGCGCTGGTGGCGGTGGCTACTGGCACTGTCACTGCGCTGTCGCTCCTAGTCAGCTTGCAGGTGAGACCTGCCCCAGGCCTCCGGATGAGGGTTATTAGAGCGTTGAATCAAGTCAGTGCCTCGGGGATTCTGGGTGGCGCTGGTGGCGGTGGCTACTGGCACTGTCACTGCGCTGTCACTCCTAGTCAGCTTGCAGGTGAGACCTGCGGCCTGCCCCAGGCCTCCGGATGAGGGATATTAGAGCGTTGAATCAAATCAGTGCCTCGAGGCTTTTGGGTGGCGCTGGTGGCGGTGGCTACTGGCACTGTCACTGCTCTCTCGCTCCTCGTCAGCCTGCAGGTGAGAAGAGCTGCCCTAGGCTTACTTTGAGGGTTACTAGAGCTTGGGATCAAGTGAGGGATGAGCCAGGGCTTCTGGGTGGCGCTGGTGGCGGTGGCTACTGGCACTGTCACTGCGCTCTCGCTCCTCGTTAGCCTGCAGGTGAGAAAGGCAGCCCCAGGCTTCCAGATGAGCGTGGTACTGAGGGATGGGATGTCGAGCTGGGGTTGTGGGTGGCGTTGGTGACAGTAGCGGCTATAGCTGGTGGTGGTGGGTGCTGGCACTGTCACTGCACTGTCGCTCTTAGTCAGCCCCTAGGCCTACTGTCCGGGTCATTGCGAGATGGCATGACGAGTTGGGGTTGTGGTTGGTGTTGGTTGCAGTAGCTACTGTTTGAGGGTTCTGAGGAGTGGCATCTGATGGGATTCTTACACTGCACCGGGCATCCATTTCTATTCTTTTGTTTTTTTCTGTTCTACTTTTGGCTCAGGTGGTTCGGCTGCGGCCGCGGTTTGTGATTCCCATTGGCGGCATTGTGGTGGGCAGCAGCATGACCATTGCTGCCAACACCATGCAGCGACTCGCAGACGACTTCCAGCAGAGGAGGGGGCAGGTGGGTGTTTAACCGAACAACTATGGCTTGTAGCATGAGCAACTGTAGCTGGAAGGCAGCAGCATGACCATTGCTGCCAACACCATGCCGCAACTCGCCGACGACAACACACGGCCCCACTGCCATGCCGTGCTATAGTCCCTCATTCCACCTCCACTGTATGCCAGTTTGAGGCACGAGTTTTCTTTGCTATGCTGTTTTGTGCAGCACGCCTCCTTACTTCAACAGTCCCCTTCCTCCTCCACCTCCGATCCAGCCGGAACCACAATGTCACATGCCATTTGCACCTCGTTCCTATACCCCTCCATTTTGCACCCCACCCCCCAACCCCACTCCTTCCCACCCATTCCCACCGCCTGCCCCGTTCTCCACCCCCATTCTCTCCCATCTCCAATTCATCTCGAAGCACCTTGATGCTCCTCTCTTTCCAGCCTCTCTCGTCCCCTTTTCACTGTAACTCCTTTCTCACGCCATCCTTCTCCCCTTATCCAATTTCTCTAATTCCCTCCACCTCCCCTTTCCAGCTAGAGGCAGCACTAGCCCTGGGCGCTAGCCAATGGGAAGCCTCCCTTCCCCTCATCAAACGGGCAGTAGCCGTGGGTTTCGGCCCTACAATAGACTACACCAAGACCGTGGGGATAATTCAGCTCCCAGACTCCATGACTGGCATGATCATGGGGGGAGCTTCCCCTCAGGAAGCAGTCAATCAATCTGCATATCACACTCACGCCCCTCCATCCCCTACCCCTTTTTGCCTCCTTCCCACCCTCCCTTTTCTGTCCCCTCCAATCCAGCTAGAGGCAGCACTAGCCCTGGGTGCTAGCCAATGGGAAGCCTCCCTTCCCCTCATTAAACGGGCAGTAGCTGTGGGGTTCGGCCCTACAATAGACTATACCAAGACAGTGGGGATCATTCAGCTCCCAGGCTCCATGACTGGGATGATCATGGGGGGGGCTTCCCCTCAGGAAGCAGTCAATCTGCAGATTACCATTACGTTTCTTTTGTTGGGGGCGCTTTCGCTGTCGTGTATTGTGTCGGCTCTTCTAGCTGCGCCCCAGTTTTTTCATAGCCATGCACAGCTGTTAGAAACTTGGTAAGACGTCAATTGGATTAGGATCTTATGGATTCTAATTTAGGTTTTGTTACGACTAAAGGCGCTTTGTGAATAGAAGACACATGCATTTCGCGACCATTTAGAGAGCACGAGTAACCTTATAATCTTATCTTTTTCTGTACAGTGATCGGGGTTGCTATACCCAATCACGATTCTGCGCCTTCAGTGGCTGAACGGATAATGCTTGTTGGACTGCCGGCGTAATCAGGGCAATCTGTTTGGTTCGCGAGTTCACGCTTTTGTAACCAGTCAAGAATGAAGTTTTCCCACCACTCCACAAGTGTCAGCAGCACCCTCCTGCACCAGGCGCCCAGGACTGAGTGAACAAAATTGAATTTCGAGGCAGCAATATGAGTGAGTAGTCTCTTGCAGATCTGGCGAAAACGATGGGCTAGGATGGTTTGGAATGGGTTGAAAAGGGCTGGCATGGAATCGGGGGAATCAGAAGTTCAAGAATCCGTTATCACCATCCGTTATTTCATGGCGCACGGAAGTAGGTCTTCAGGTGACTAAAGATGCTTTCCTAGCAGGCAAAAGGCCTCCTTTTCTTCTTCGTCGTCAGTCAAACGCAACTCTAAACTCCCTGACACGAAACCCAGGAACGCGCAGAGGCCCGTAACGTTCCGTTTCTGTGATCTCCGGACAGCGTTTCGAGGATTTGAGGTTCGCACAAAAGCCGTCTCGCGAGTCGCGACGTGTTCGCAACTGCTTAGAAACCCACCACAAAGGCACGTCGCGTGCTGCATGACTCGTACGTTCGCAGTCGCACTGCAGCCGCAGCGGAGTCGCGTCGCACGGCAGTCGCACGTCAATCTTATTTCTCCTCAAATTTGCCGTCAATGCGACGAGTATGCCGACCAGACCCTCACTAGTAGCCGCCTCTCCCTTGCTCGCAGCTAGAAATGGAAGGATTGGCTGTCACGCATTCAGCAGCTACAACTAACTTAGTGGCTACGAACTCAAAAAATAATACGAGCAATGCACGGAGACCAAGGAGAATGCTCGCGACTCCCACTGTAGCACTAACGGCTGCGAATTGTACAGTAGTAACTCGGTCAGCAGCTTCGCCAGCAATTTCGCCAGCGAATTCGCCAGCAAAAACCGCACAGGCTGAATCCTCCAGCCAATTTTATCACCCTCGTTATCAGCCGAGCCCGCGAGGTTTCCGTGGCCCGCGAGTATCAGTGGGTGGTGCAACGGCATTGGCATCGGCGGTCAGCGTTGAATTGCGGGTGAGGCGGTCAAATCTCGTTAGATCCGCTGCGTGTATCCCCGGGAATGTCGGCACCACCGCGATTAACGCCACGAATTACGCAGCGAATGACGCCGCGAATGACGCCGCGAATGATGACGCGAATTACGCCGCGAATGATGCCGCGAATGATGCCGCGAAGAGTGACGGCGCTGCTGACGTCATGACAGCGGCTAACAGAGGCCACGATGCGTCGTCGTGGGAAGGTTCTGAAGCCGTGGGGTTTGGTAGCCCATATGATAGTATGGCGGCTGGCTATCCCTTAGAAGCTGTAGGCTCGGGGGTTGATGCTATGGCGGCTGAGACGAAAGCAGCCGTGGCAGCGTTGAGAACGCAGCAGCAGCGATTAGAAGCTGGAAAATATGCAATTGGGAGACACTTAGCTAAAAGTTTGGGAATTGGACGATTGTGCACAACAAATAGCAGTACAGTACAAAAAGATACTTTATTTAGAAGCAGTACACTCAAAGGAAGCTTCACCGCATCCAGTTCGGGAGAGCAAGGCGACATGTGGGGTTACAGTTCCGTGGGAGCACTAGAGTCGACCCTAAAATCAAATCAAATCGGAATATGGGGGTACAGTTCCGTGGGACATGAGCGGCACATCACAATGACAGTGATGTTTCTAGTGGCGCTTTCCATCTGCCTCTGGATCGATGTTAACACTGCAGCGGACTTGCTTGTAGGGGGGATAAGGGCAGCTGCGCAGCTCTCAGCCGTTGGATTCGGGATCAAGTACATCGTGGCCATTGAAAGCGGGAAGGTGGCATATTGTGGAGTTGCGATCATGGTGAGTGTCTGGAGAACTCGTGGTGAGTGTGTGGAGCACTCGTGGTGAGTGTCTGGAGCACTCGTGGTGAGTGTCTGGGGCGATCATATTGAGTGTTTTATCCCTTGTACTCCCATCATCTTCTGCGCTCTCCCTCCTTGCTCGCCTCGCACCTCTGCTCTCCCCGCCCTGCTGTCCTTTCCTTCACCGCTCAGACTCTCTTTCTGGCAAATGCTGATAGTACCCTGCCTTCCAATTTATCACATGAGAAATGGCCGCCTCAAACAGATAGCATTCATCGTCCTTCTCCCTGCATGCTCCTCTGAATGCATCTGAAAACATCTGAACCCATCTGAACCCATCTGAACCCATCTGAACCCATCTGAACCCATTGTAACCCAATCTATCCCACAGATGCTGCCAGCAGCACACAGGAAAGTCAATCGTGTGGCAGTCTGTGTGAGATGTTGAGGCAGCTTTTACATCCTGCCTTTTCTGATGAATCCATCTGAACCCATCTGAACCTCTCCAACTTTCAGGTGCTGGCAGCAGCACACACTGCATCTAGGAGAGCCAAGCGTGTGGCAGGGGGTTTCTGGGTGGCGCTCTGGGCGATAGGAGCTGCCGTCACACTCGCCTTCTCGCTGCTTGCAAGCTTGCAGGTATGCTTGGCATAGATAGAGAGGGGAGGACGGCTTTTGGGGGATTCTGGGTGGCAGGGGGATTCTGGGTGGCAGGGGGATTCTGGGTGGCAGGGGGATTCTGGGTGGCGCTCTGGGCGATAGGAGCTGCCGTCACACTCGCCTTCTCGCTGCTTGCGGGCTTGCAGGTATGCTTGGCATAGATAGAGAGGGGAGGACGGCTTTTGGGGGATTCTGGGTGGCAGGGGGATTCTGGGTGGCAGGGGGATTCTGGGTGGCGCTCTGGGAGATAGGAGCTGTCGTCACACTCGCCTTCTCCCTTCTCGCGTGCTTGCAGGTATGTCTGCCGTAGATGGGGTAAGAGAATGTCTGGGGAATTCTGGGGGACTGGGATGTTTTACTGGGTTGGGGGTTTCTGGGTGGCGCTTTGGGCAATAGGAGCTGCCGTCACACTCGCATTCTCCCTGCTTGCGGGCTTGCACGTATGTGTGTGCGCACTACGCACCTGTGCAACTCCACAATATGCCACCTTCCCGCTTTCAATGGCAACAATGTACTTGATCCCGAATCCAACGGCTGAGGTATGTGTGCTCTGAGTATGGATGAGGCCTTCTGGGGTGGGCGGCGACTTTTGAGTCGACTCAAAAGTCATTCTCGCTGCTTGCGGCCTCGCACGTATGTGTGGCATAGGTAGATGGGAGTGTTTGGGGGATTCTGGTTGGGTGCGGGCGTTTGGGTGGCTCTCTGGGCAATAGGAGCTGCGGTCACACTCGCATTCTCGCTGCGTGCGGGCTTGCAGGCGTGTGTGCGCAGCGCGCTGCGCAGATGATGTTACTTTTGAGAATTGCAGGCGCAAAAGTAACATCAACACTGCGTGCGGGCTTGCAGGTATGTGTGCGCACTGCGCAGATATGATTGTGCTCTCTGAGTATGGCTTTTGAGTCAACTCAAAAGTTATCTTGCGGGCTTGCACCTATGTATGCGCACTGCGCAGTTAGATTGTGCTCTCTGAGTATGGATGAGGCTTTCTGGGGTGGGTGGCGCTGCTGGCAGTTTGAGATGCTGTCTCATGGCTGTGTGGTTTGATACGCTTTTGAGTCGACTCAAAAGTCACCTGGCAGTTCGAGATCCTGTCTCGTGGCTGTGTGGTTTGACACGGTTCATTTCATCAACTTGTGTGTTCCTAAACTACGCCTGTGACTCGAATGGTGTGTCTCATTGCGACTGAGAGAATTCCCTCTACTTGTGTGTGTGGACTCAAGGTGCGTCACTTCTGAGACGTCTCAATGGTCCTGTGACTCAAACGGTGGTGTGGCTCATTGCGAGTGAGAGAATTGCCACTACTTGTGTGGACTCAAGGTGCGTCACTTCTGAGACGTCTCAATGGTCCTGTGACTCAAACGGTGGTGTGGCTCATTGCGAGTGAGAGAATTGCCACTACTTGTGTGGACTCAAGGTGCGTCACTTCTGAGACGTCTCAATGGTCCTGTGACTCAAACGGTGGTGTGGCTCATTGCGACTGAGAGAATTCCCACTACTTGTGTGGACTCAAGGTGCGTAGTAGTCGGGGACGCGAATCTCGAAACCATCCCCCATTCCCCATATGTGCGCATCTGGGAATGGTATCTGTTATTGCTTTCATGGATACCCAAAGCCACCCCCCGGGCAACTGCAGTTTGTTCTTCCCAGGTCGTCTGATTGAGGCTGCCGCTTGTGATTCCCATCGATTTCCCTCTCTCACCGCACCTCACCGCACCTCACCGCACCTCACCGCATCTCACCGCACTGCACCCATCATCCTTCCTTCTTCCCAGTGTCTCGCCCAGATGATTCCCATTGGGGGCATTCTCGTTGGCAGCAGCAATGTAACCCCCCCCTCCCATCCTCCTCAGTCCTCCCATCACCGCACTGCACCGCACCACACCCATCGCAGGTGGTTCCCCTGCGACCGGGGTTTGTGATCCCCATTGCGGGTCTCGTGGTGGGCAGCAGCATGACCATTGCTGCCAACACCATGCAACGACTCGCAGACGACTTTCAGCAGAGAAGGGGAGAGGTGAGCTGGAAGTGAATAGAATAGGCGTAACAGAGGTGAGACTCTTGCTGAGCCTTGCTGACCATTGCTGCCAACACCATGCAACGACTCGCAGACGACTTTCAGCAGAGAAGGGGAGAGGTGAGCTGGAAGTGAATAGAATAGGCGTAACAGAGGTGAGACTCTTGCTGAGCCTTGCTGACCATTGCTGCCAACACCATGCAACGACTCGCAGACGACTTTCAGCAGAGAAGGGGAGAGGTGAGCTGGAAGTGAATAGAATAGGCGTAACAGAGGTGAGACTCTTGCTGAGCCTTGCTGACCATTGCTGCCAACACCATGCAACGCTCGCAGACGACTTTCAGCAGAGAAGGGGAGAGGTGAGCTGGAAGTGAATAGAATAGGCGTAACAGAGGTGAGACTCTTGCTGAGCCTTGCTGACCATTGCTGCCAACACCATGCAACGACTCGCAGACGACTTTCAGCAGAGAAGGGGAGAGGTGAGCTGGAAGTGAATAGAATAGGCGTAACAGAGGTGAGACTCTTGCTCACCGTCTCTGCCAACACCATGCAGCGACTCACTGACGACTTTCAGCAGAGGAGGGGGCAGGTGGGTTTTCTTACCTTACAGCTGTAGCCTGTGTAGCAGGAAGGGCTGTAGCATTAAGGCAGCAGCATGACCAATGCTGCCAATACCATGCAGCGACTGGCTGATGACTTTCAGCAGAGGAGGGGGCAGGTCAGCTGGAAGTGAATAGCATAGGCGTAACAGAGGTGAGACTCTTGCTCACCCTTGCTGACCATCGCTGCCAACACCATGCAACGACTCGCAGACGACTTTCAACAGAGGAGGGGCCAGTTGAGGGTCTTAGCCTGTAGCAAGGGGATTTGTAGCAGAAAGGGCTGTAGCATTGTTGCTAAACTATGTGTCCATGTGACATCCCACACGCGATTGTTGCTCCCTTCCCCGTTCTCCCACCTTTGTTGCCAGGTCGAAGCAGCACTAGCACTAGGCGCAAGCCAATGGCAGGCCTCCCTTCCCCTCCCTCGAAAGGCTGTAGCAGTGGGCTTTGGGCCAACGCTAGACTATATAAATGCTTACCGTGTGATTCACTCCTTCCCATCTCACTCCCCCCTTTTCCAACCCAGGTAGAGGCGGCACTAGCACTAGGTGCAAGCCAATGGCAAGCATCTCTCCCCCTCATTCGAAAGGCTGTAGCAGTGGGCTTTGGGCCGACTCTAGACTATATAAAGACCTACGGTGTGATTCAGCTCCCTGGCGCTATGGTGGGGATGCTTATGGGGGGGATGCCGCCACAAGAAGCGGTTAATCTTCAGTTGACTGTTACTTTCTTTTTGCTGGTGCCTATGGCACTCACTACAGTTGTCTCTGCAGTTCTAACTGCCCGAGGTTTTTTTCCTGCCCCCGGGCAGCTGATAGAGGAGGCAAGCTGCTGAAGCATGGAGATTTGACACTACTTGGCTAATAATCTCTTTGTGCTAATCAAATGCTACAATGTGTGCTGATATGAAAGCCGATACTACGTTGGAGGGTGCGGTGAAAAACGAAACTCTGCTTTTATGCGTTGAAAGCAGTGCTGCCTAAAGCCAGTGCTGCCATAGTTCCTAACATTCTACTCTATACTTTCTACTTTCTACTTTCTACAGAATTTCTAATTTTATGGGTGGAAAGTAGAAACTCTGCTTACAGGAGTCAGGTGGACTACACTGGTTATCTTCTGTTCTGATGTCCCCAGGGGCGAGGTCGCCAGGGGAACGTGAGGTGAGTTCCCAAGGTTCCTTGCTGATGAAGGAAGGAATGTTGGAGGAGCACAGAAGAAACTCTTATGGGGGGATATACATACGGTATTCCAGCAAGAAAAAGCAGCACCAGGATAATTAGTTCTGTTTTCGTCTACCAACCGCAGTTACTGTAGAGATCACAGCCAGCTTGAGGTCGAGATACAGTCTTGCAAAGAAGTCCACTTTTGAGGTGCCTCAAAGATACAGGCTTGCAAAGAATCCCTCTATTCTAAACGAGTGGGGAGTCCCTGCTGAGAAACCTAGGGGAGGGAAGAACCTTGGTATCGGTTGCAGTGCTACCATACTGATTCGCTCCTCTTCAAGTGTCATATTCCTAGTTCACACTCTGTTCTGCATTAGGTTGAAGGTCGGAGCAGCCCTGCCCTCCCGCTACAGTGAAATACACATGGTATCAGAGGGTAATGATAGTAATAAAAAGAGAGTACAGCAAACCAGCCACTAGAACCACCACACCAGACACGCCACGCATGCTGCGCTGATTAACAAGGTCACACCATGCAAGCAAAAGGTGAGAGAAGAAAAGAAGGAAACGTGCTTCCTCTAGTGCAACCGGAGTAAAGGAGCAGATGGCCGAAACAAACCGCTTGAAAGCAGCTCATATTCAACCTTATTCTAGCTTATTCAACCTTATTCTAGCTTATTGTGGGTTGTCGTCCCTCCCACCCCCTGGCCACTGTTCCACCCTGTCAATCCATGCCTGTCCACTTGTCAGCCTTCTACCGTCTACCACAGACCACTTTCCCGAAGCATGGCCTCCGTCGATCAAGTGGAAAGCCCTGCAAAAACCATGGGAAAAGGAGATGCGGAGCTCGTGCGTCAGTTGTGCTCACCAACTCTGCTGGAAATCCGCGCATCACTTTTGCATTGGCTTACAACTCACCTGAAACTCAGACGCCCTGTTGCTCCCTAAGCCACATCCACCATCCCCTCCTCCTCACTCCCCTCCTCAGCCCACTGCTCTTCCTCCTCACTCCCAACACTCTCTCCCTCCTCGCCCTCCTCATCCTCCTCTCCTGCCAGCAGCACCCTACCATCCTCTTCCACCCCCTCCTGCATATCGGCCTCCTCCTCCTCTTCCTCATTCACACCCTCAGAATCGTCAAGCTCGGCCAAAGCCCGCCCCTCCTCCATCTCCCCCTCCTCCTCATCCTGCATCTCTTCCTCCTCCTCGCCCTCGCCCTCTGAATCGTCGATCTCGGCCAAAGCCCTGCCCTCCTCCTCCTCTTCCTCCTCCTCATCCTCATTCACATCCTCAGAATCGTCTATCTCCACCAAAGCTCGCCCCTCCTGCATCTCCTCGTCTTCCTCATCACTGAAATCCTCTTGCTCCTCCTGGATCTCCTCCTCTGCCTCCAAAGCACCAACCTGCTCGGACTCTCCTTGCTCTGCCAGCACCCTGCCCTCCTCAATCTCCTCCACCTCCTCAGCGTCCTCTTCTTCCTCCTCCTCAGCATCCTCGTCCCACTCACCCTCCTCCGCACCGTCGTCTTGCTCTGCCAGCACCCTGCCCTCCTCTAGACCCCCCCCCTCCTGCATCTCCTCTTCTTCCTCCTCCTCAGCATCCTCGTCCCATTCACCCTCCTGCTCCGCCAGTGCCCTCCCCTCCTGCATCTCCCCCTCCTCCTCCCCCTCCTCCTCGTCCTCCTCCTCCGCCTCTCCCTCCACAGCACCAACCTTATCGGACTCGCCTTCGTCCGCCATCAGCGCCCTCCCCTCCTGCATCTCCTCCTCATCCTCGTCTTCCTCTGCCTCCAAATCACCAACCTCCTCAGACTCTCCGTCGCCCTCCATCAGAACCCTCCCCTCCTGCATCTCCTCATCTTCCTCCTCCTCAGCATCCTCATCCCACTCACTCTCCTCCTCACCATCGCCTTGCTCCGCCAGCACCCTGCCCTCCTCAAGACCCTCTCCCTCCTGCATCTCCTCCTCCTCAGTCTTCTCAGCATCCTCATCCCACTCACCCTCCTCCGCACCGTCGTCTTGCTCTGCCAATGCCCTCCCCTCCTGCATCTCCCCCTCCTCCTCATTTTCCTCTTCCTCGTCTGCCTCCAGGTTACCAACCCCCTCGGACTCTCCTTGCTCCTGAAGCACCCTGCCCGCATCAACCTCCTCCCCCTCCTGCATCTCGTCCTCTTCCTCGTCTGCCTCCAGGTTACCAACCCCCTCGGACGGTCCTTGCTCCTGAAGCACCCTTCCTTCCTCAATCCCCTCTCCCTCCTGCATCTCCCCCTCCTCCTCATCCTCATTCTCTCCCTCCACTTCGTCCTCCAACACCCTCCCCTCCTCAATCCCCTCCCCCGCATCCCCCATCTCCCCCTCTACCGCCTCCTCCCCCATCTCTCCTTCCTCCGCCAAAAGCCGGCCCTCTTCAAACTCCTCTCCAACCTCCGCTTCTCCCTCTTCCGCCACACCTTCTTCCGCCTCTTCCGCAGCAGCACTTGCGCCCTCCCACACTTCCTCTTCCGCTCCCCCCGACTCTTCTGACGCCAGCACTCTCCCCTCGTCAAAAGTCTCTGCCTCTCCGCCTTCCGCCATCCCGTCTCCGCCGTCCGCGCTCGCCTCTTCAAGCACGCGCGCGGAAAGCGTCTCCGGGGCGCCGTCGACGCCCGCGGCGGAAATCAGCGCCCTCCGCGGCGCCGGGTCGGCAGAAGCCACCCTTGGCACACCCCGCAGCCCGTGGCGACTCGGCGCGTCGGCAGGACCCTCCGCCCACATCATCGCCCGCCGCGGAAGAGAAGGGAAGGCGGCGCGCGCAGGGTTGACGACGAGAACGACGAGGAACAAGAGAAGGAGGAGGCACGGAGCGCGGGGGCTGCGGCGCGCCATGGCTGATGCTGCAAGTATCCTCGTTATTAGGCGCCTCGAATATGGACTCGGGCGAGCTGTGGCTGATGCTGTTGCCTGAGAATCACTCCTGCCGCTGGTTTGCTATAACGAGGGAGTTTTGCTTTGCAGCGTGGATTGCTCCTGCGACGACTCAAGTGTTACTTTGAACGCTGCGATGTCCGACCTCCGGAGTCGGGGGGGGGAGAAAGAGCCTCTTGGAAAGCTACCTTGCTGACGAACTCCCGTTGAAGGACGCACGGGGCAAATCGGGAGTAACTAAACCGGATTCGAAACTGCGATGCTCAAGCTTGGTTGCAGCCTCGTATTTATGCTCATGCCATGCCCGGCCATCCTGGCCGACGCATCTCACGCGCACTCACACCCACCTTGGCGCAACTCACGCGCACTCTCGCTCCCTTTCCTTCCGGACGGCCACAAGCGCAAACCCATGGCACAGAGCGAATGTTGCGCGCGGCAATGGGCCCGGGCGCAAGCCCTGCCGCGGAGCCGCGCCAATGCGACCTAGCGCAAGGCCTTTTGAGTCGATCCAAGAGTCACCTCGGACAGGTCGAGGCGCAAAAATCTGCGGAGCTGGCGCAATGATGGGCGATGCGCTTGTCTAGGCTCGTCGCGATGGGCTCAACGAGCGGAATCGGCCCTACTAACCCCTGCAACCGCACCGCACTGTTCCGACCTCCCCCCCTACCCCCCAACCCCTTTTTTTCCCAGCGCTGCTTCCCTTCCTCTTCCCCCCCATACCCGATGCCATAGATTCACCACATTACCTAACGCGCTCCGCTCCAACACCGAAGCGCACCGCACGATAATTGGTGAGGTGCGGCTGACAAGTGTGGCGATATAATCGTCATTTGCCATGTTCCATGCAGCGAGATCACCGTGATGTGCGCTTGGCGTCTCTTCGTGGGGGGTTTTCGAGCGGAAATCCGAAGGGAAACGTGGAACGGGACTACGCAATAATGGTAATGCGCGAGAGTGAGGTTCGCTCTGCATTTAACGCGATTCGAAAAGGCATCAGCTTGAGACGAAATAATGTTGGTTGAAGCTGGCTGGTGTGATATAATGTTGCGAGAATTGCAGCTCTAGAACCGGCGAGAAGCGCGGCAGGTCTGGAGTCGAAACCACACAGAGAAGCAGCGTGTCGCAAAGTTGCGGGGCTGTCATGGTTGTCGAGATTATGCAAACAAAACCGACCCTCTGTTTTGGTGGACCCTACGCACGCATGCTCGATAATTGTCAATATGAATTGCACGGGAGGAGTGGAGAGCTGGAGTGAGCGACCGGTAACACCGTTTAGCTCAATCGGAAGAAATTTCGCTTGCTGTGTTTCGTTGGATACGTCTCGTAGGCAGGTCGTTTCGTTTCTTCGTGTCGCAGAAGGGAAACTTAGTTTCGCAAATCAGCTGGCAGGGTTCGCAGCCGAAGGAATTGTGGAGTCACGACTCGCATCGTGTCGCGTTTCCTGGGACAATTATTGGAGTTGCGCACATTGCGGTATCATTCCCATGCATTCAAATTATGTTACAATCTGGGACTGGCTAAACTACAACAGAACCTGAAGATGGTGTTTTTTGCAATAAACATACTGTTTGAGGATCTCTGTGACCCTTCTGGAAGTAAACTGAGATATTTTAATATATATAAAGAATTATCCGATTTCCAGGTGACACTTTTCTTAATGGAAATTACCGGTTCGTTAATGGAAATTACAGAAACAGTCTAGCTTAATTTATCCTCAAACTCAATAAAAATTTTCCTCAATATCTGAACAGGTTTAGCTTTAACGAAGCCTGCAAGAGAACCTCGCCTTCCAATCGAAATCGAAACAATGGACCTTCGAAACAAGTTGGAAACCTGTTGCGATTGTGACGAACATCTCTAGGTTTCGACGAGTTTGGTAACGTACGTGGGCTTTCTCGCCGAAACGGCAGGTGAAACCAGAGAGTGATAAAAATCGCTAGACTGACCAAGATAGTGCCGTTTATCTAGTATCTTTGAAAAGCGCCTTTCCCTCCCACACTATTTGCTGTCGATTAGCCATGGGCGATCTCTAATGGTAGTCGTAGTATCAATTTAGTGAATAAGGTATCTTCATCCAGCGTTATTCAGCACTAAAACAGAAAGCTATCTGAATCGCGTCAGCATGACTCGCCCCTTTCCCCAATGTGCCGGTGACTTTTCCTTTTCTGGATAGCTTGCCATATCAAGTGGCAGCAATAGCACATATGCTTCCCGTTCTGTGTTGATACGCGGCCGTACGGCGAGCGATCGTACGTTAATCGGGAGTAATCCTGGCCGTCCGTGCCCAGTCATAGTTCCCCCGTGCCATTCTCCGCGCAGCCAATGCCGTCGTTTCCCGCGCTTCTCGCCGCGTTTGTCGCAGCAGCGTTGCTAGGAACTCTCGTGTTCGCACCGTTTAGCGAAATTCCACGCGCGCCGTTGAACGAATTCCCGTCGAGCCATGGCGGGTTCACGGTTGACGCGACTCGGAAGCCCCCGTCAGAACAAGGCTGGATCACGCTGGGAGCGGCGATTCGGAGAATCACGAAGCTGCTAACCTCCTCGAGGTAATCCGGATTCGCAGCTGTTTTTTCAGGAGCCTAAAACATGATAGTATCGGAACCTCTTCAAAAGCTCTTAAAGTCTCGAGCTTTTGGCAGGAGGATTTCACAGAAAGAACTTTTCGCAACTGATAGCTTTCGCCATGCATCGCCCTGTTTCCGCCATTTCCCCCCGCTTCCCCTCCATTCCCCGCCCCACGCCTTCTCGTTCCCCCTTCCGCGCCCCTCTCCTCTTCCCTCCCTTCCTCGGTTTTCCCCCTTTCCCCATCTTCCCTATCCCGCCCCTCTTTCCCTCCCTTTGTTGTTTCCCCCCACCTGTCGTGCCTTTTTTTACCAACCCCCCCCTCCTCCCCCCGAACCCCCCCCCCCCAACCAACCCCCGCTCTTTGCCCCTACCTCCCCGTCCCTTCCTTTTGTCTTCCGCCCCCGCCCCACTCCCTCCCCCACCAACCCCCCCCATCCTCCCTTTGTCCCGAACGTCCCTCCTTCCGTTCATCGCAGGGAAAGCCTGGAGAGTCGTGTTTTGAGTCGACACAAAACACGTCCCCCCCCCACTCCCTCCCCCACCTTCCTCCCCCCCCCCTTATCCTCCCTTTGTCCCGAACGTCCCCTCTTCTGTTCATTGCGGGGAAAGGCGGGAGGAGCAGCAGAGGTGCTTGGACGAGCTCCAGAGACTAAGGGAATGGCGGGAAGGTGAGCAGGTAGCAGGGGTTAAAGGGTTCCGGGTTCTTCTGTTTCTTCTTCTGTTCCTTGTTCTGTCTTCTTCTGTTTGTCTTACCACTAACCTGTGCACCACCTATGTACGCATCCACATTAATTGATTGTATTTCACCACCCATTTTCAGATTTGGGACCTGACGCAGCCACAACTGCCAATTCAGCTTCTCAATCTCATCTTTCCACGTCATCTGCCACGTCAGCCACCGTTACCACCATCTCCACCACCACTATCACCGCACGTTCCAAGAACCTGCCGTTACTCCATTCTTCCAGCGCAGAGATTCGAACTCCGGCCTCCAACGCCCAACAGGCCAAGCTGCTGCTGCCACAGTCTGCCAGTGCCGCTGCTGCAACGGATAGAGGGCCGGTGCTGCCACTGCTGAGTGGCAGATTCCACCGAGATACTCGGCCGCATTCACAGGGGGGTGAGCTTAGTGGTTTACATGCCGCCACTCGTTCCCTGCTCAGTGTAGACGCACCCCTGTCGATGCACCCCTGTCGATGCACCCCTGTCGATGCACCCCTGTCGATGCACCCCTGTCGATGCACCCCTGTCGATGCACCCCTGTCGATGCACCCCTGTCGATGCACCCCTGTCGATGCACCCCTGTCGATGCACCCCTGTCGATGCACCCCTGTCGATGCACCCCTGTCGATGCACCCCTGTCGATGCACCCCTGTCGATGCACCCCTGTCGATGCACCCCTGTCGATGCACCCCTGTCGATGCACCCCTGTCGATGCACCCCTGTCGATGCACCCCTGTCGATGCACCCCTGTCGATGCACCCCTGTCGATGCACCCCTGTCGATGCACCCCTGGTCGATGCACCCCTGTCGATGCACCCCTGTCGATGCACCCCTGTCGATGCACCCCTGTCGATGCACCCCTGTCGATGCACCCCTGTCGATGCACCCCTGTCGATGCACCCCTGTCGATGCACCCCTGTCGATGCACCCCTGTCGATGCACCCCTGTCGATGCACCCCTGTCGATGCACCCCTGTCGATGCACCCCTGTCGATGCACCCCTGTCGATGCACCCCTGTCGATGCACCCCTGTCGATGCACCCCTGTCGATGCACCCCTGTCGATGCACCCCTGTCGATGCACCCCTGTCGATGCACCCCTGTCGATGCACCCCTGTCGATGCACCCCTGTCGATGCACCCCTGTCGATGCACCCCTGTCGATGCACCCCTGTCGATGCACCCCTGTCGATGCACCCCTGTCGATGCACCCCTGTCGATGCACCCCTGTCGATGCACCCCTGTCGATGCACCCCTGTCGATGCACCCCTGTCGATGCACCCCTGTCGATGCACCCCTGTCGATGCACCCCCAGCAGCAACAACAGCGTCAGCAGCTGCAGAAGAACTACCCTCTGTGCGACGGCTGCTGAGTCACACATACAGAACTCCCAACCTCAACCCTAATGCCGCCTGCGCCGAGAATGAGACGAGCGTTGCCGCCCTCAGAGCCCACCTGGCGGCCAAGGCGGTGCAGCTGAGAGCCACTCAAGTGCAGATCGAGGAGATGCAGGTGAGGGGAAACCCTTCAAACCCCTCAAACTCTTTGAATTCCTTAAAACCGTAAACCCTTTATAACCCTCAACCCTGAGCCAAGGCTACCTGCCTGCCAAGGTAGCTGTGGCCGACTCAAGTGCAGATTGAGGAGATGCATGCAGGTGAGGGAATCTCCAAACCCCTTAAAACCTTCAACCCCTCAAAATCCTCAACCCAGTCTAAGTGCTTACTCTGCATTCCTGTAACCCTTTAATATCTATGCGCTCTCAGAGACTATCCACTCGAACTCAGTTCCTTACCTAAAACCCAATAACCTTGTCGTCCTGTAACCCCTTGACCCGGTAACCCCGTAACCCTGCAGCGCACTGTGGGCCGAGTGAACTACCAGAAGTTCCGCCTGGACAATGCTCTCTCAAAACCATGCTGTGCACGCACGGCCACTCTAGATGCCTTCTCATCACCGCTCATGTACCCCTGTTACCCCATGTCACTGCAGCGCACGGTGGGCCGAGTGAACTACCAGAAGTTTCTCCTGAACTATGCTCTCTCAGAGACCACGCTGCGCTCGCAAGCCCACTGCAGGTGCCTTTGCTTCACCCCGTTAACCTCCTCTACCCCTGTTACCCCGTAACATGTTACCTGCCCACACTGCAGCGCACTGTGGGCCGAGTGAACTACCAGAAGTTCCTGCTGGACTATGCTCTCTCAGGGTCTACGCCCTCAAGCCCACTCTGACCCAGTGCTTTCCCTACACCACACCCCAATAACCCTCTAACCCTGCAGCGCACCGTGGGCCGAGTGAACTACCAGAAGTTTCTCCTGGACTATGCTCTCTCAGAGACCACTGTTGACTGGAATGACCGGCTGCTGCCGCCACAGGTGAGCCGTGAGTGGGGCATATGGGTGTGGTGTGGTGTGGTGGCATGGTGCATGGTGGCATGGTGGCATGGTGGCATGGTGGCATGGTGCATGGTGGCATGGGTACTATGCACTAGTGCCGGCTCTCCTGCTGGACTATGCTCTCTCGGAGACCACTGTTGACTGGAACGACCGGCTGCTGCCGCCACAGGTGAGCCGTGAGTGGTGCATACGGGTGTGGTGCATGGTGGCACGCTCTTTCGGAGACCACTGGGGATTGGAACGACCGCCTGCTGTCCCCACAGGTAGGTGGGACATGGTGGCATGGGGTATGGGGTATGGGGTATGGGGCATGGGGCATGGGGCATGGTGCATGGGGCATGGTGCATGGTGCATGGGGCATGGTGCATGATGCATGGTGCATGATGCCTAATGCTGAGAACCGAAATGCCATCCACAGGGCGAGTTTTGAAGAACCGAGTTCTTGCTTTTAGTGACTTCCAATCCAAGTGACTGCCGTTGACATTTGATTGACTTTGGTTGACCTTTTCAATTGAGGTGTTCAATTCCTTCAACGCACTGCATTCTCTGTGTTGTGGTGCTGTGGTGTGGTGCTGTGCTGTGCTGTGCTGTGCTGTGCTGTGCTGTGCTGTGCTGTGCTGTGCTGTGCTGTGCTGTGCTGTGCTGTGGTGTGCTGTGGTGTGGTGTGGTGTGGTGTGGTGCTGTGCTGTGCTGTGCTGTGCTGTGCTGTGCTGTGGTGTGGTGTGGTGCTGTGCTGTGCTGTGCTGTGCTGTGGTGTGGTGTGGTGCTGTGCTGTGCTGTGCTGTGGTGTGCTGTGGTGTGCTGTGGTGTGCTGTGGTGTGCTGTGCTGTGCTGTGCTGTGCTGTGCTGTGGTGTGCTGTGGTGTGCTGTGGTGTGCTGTGGTGTGCTGTGGTGTGCTGTGGTGTGCTGTGCTGTGCTGTGCTGTGCTGTGCTGTGCTGTGCTGTGCTGTGCTGTGGTGTGCTGTGGTGTGCTGTGGTGTGCTGTGCTGTGCTGTGCTGTGCTGTGGTGTGCTGTGGTGTGGTGTGGTGTGGTGCTGTGCTGTGCTGTGCTGTGCTGTGCTGTGCTGTGCTGTGGTGTGCTGTGGTGTGCTGTGGTGTGCTGTGGTGTGCTGTGGTGTGCTGTGCTGTGCTGTGCTGTGCTGTGCTGTGCTGTGCTGTGCTGTGCTGTGGTGTGCTGTGGTGTGCTGTGGTGTGCTGTGGTGTGCTGTGGTGTGCTGTGGTGTGGTGTGGTGCTGTGCTGTGCTGTGCTGTGGTGTGCTGTGGTGTGCTGTGGTGTGCTGTGGTGTGCTGTGCTGTGCTGTGCTGTGCTGTGCTGTGGTGTGCTGTGGTGTGCTGTGGTGTGCTGTGGTGTGCTGTGGTGTGCTGTGGTGTGCTGTGCTGTGCTGTGCTGTGCTGTGCTGTGCTGTGCTGTGCTGTGCTGTGCTGTGCTGTGGTGTGCTGTGGTGTGCTGTGCTGTGCTGTGCTGTGCTGTGGTGTGCTGTGGTGTGGTGTGGTGTGGTGCTGTGCTGTGCTGTGCTGTGCTGTGCTGTGCTGTGGTGTGGTGTGGTGCTGTGCTGTGCTGTGCTGTGCTGTGCTGTGGTGTGGTGTGGTGCTGTGCTGTGCTGTGCTGTGGTGTGCTGTGGTGTGCTGTGGTGTGCTGTGCTGTGCTGTGGTGTGCTGTGCTGTGCTGTGCTGTGCTGTGCTGTGCTGTGCTGTGGTGTGCTGTGGTGTGCTGTGGTGTGCTGTGGTGTGCTGTGGTGTGCTGTGCTGTGGTGTGCTGTGCTGTGCTGTGCTGTGCTGTGCTGTGGTGTGCTGTGGTGTGCTGTGGTGTGCTGTGGTGTGCTGTGGTGTGCTGTGGTGTGGTGTGGTGCTGTGCTGTGCTGTGCTGTGGTGTGCTGTGGTGTGCTGTGGTGTGCTGTGGTGTGCTGTGGTGTGCTGTGCTGTGCTGTGCTGTGTGTGCTGTGGTGTGCTGTGGTGTGCTGTGGTGTGCTGTGGTGTGCTGTGGTGTGCTGTGTGCTGTGCTGTGCTGTGCTGTGCTGTGCTGTGCTGTGCTGTGCTGTGCTGTGGTGTGCTGTGGTGTGCTGTGCTGTGCTGTGCTGTGCTGTGGTGTGCTGTGGTGTGGTGTGGTGTGGTGCTGTGCTGTGCTGTGCTGTGCTGTGCTGTGCTGTGCTGTGCTGTGCTGTGCTGTGCTGTGCTGTGCTGTGCTGTGGTGTGGTGTGGTGCTGTGCTGTGCTGTGCTGTGCTGTGCTGTGGTGTGGTGCTGTGCTGTGCTGTGCTGTGCTGTGGTGTGCTGTGGTGTGCTGTGGTGTGCTGTGCTGTGCTGTGCTGTGCTGTGCTGTGCTGTGCTGTGGTGTGCTGTGGTGTGCTGTGGTGTGCTGTGGTGTGCTGTGGTGTGCTGTGGTGTGCTGTGGTGTGCTGTGCTGTGCTGTGCTGTGCTGTGCTGTGCTGTGCTGTGCTGTGGTGTGCTGTGGTGTGCTGTGGTGTGCTGTGGTGTGCTGTGGTGTGGTGTGGTGTGGTGTGGTGCTGTGCTGTGCTGTGCTGTGCTGTGCTGTGCTGTGGTGTGCTGTGGTGTGCTGTGGTGTGCTGTGCTGTGCTGTGCTGTGGTGTGGTGTGGTGCTGTGCTGTGCTGTGCTGTGCTGTGGTGTGGTGTGGTGCTGTGCTGTGCTGTGCTGTGGTGTGCTGTGCTGTGCTGTGCTGTGCTGTGCTGTGCTGTGCTGTGCTGTGCTGTGGTGTGCTGTGGTGTGCTGTGGTGTGCTGTGGTGTGCTGTGCTGTGCTGTGCTGTGCTGTGCTGTGCTGTGCTGTGCTGTGCTGTGCTGTGCTGTGCTGTGCTGTGCTGTGCTGTGCTGTGCTGTGCTGTGGTGTGCTGTGGTGTGCTGTGGTGTGCTGTGGTGTGCTGTGGTGTGCTGTGGTGTGGTGTGGTGCTGTGCTGTGCTGTGCTGTGGTGTGCTGTGGTGTGCTGTGGTGTGCTGTGGTGTGCTGTGCTGTGCTGTGCTGTGCTGTGCTGTGGTGTGCTGTGGTGTGCTGTGGTGTGGTGTGCTGTGCTGTGGTGTGCTGTGGTGTGCTGTGCTGTGCTGTGCTGTGCTGTGCTGTGCTGTGCTGTGCTGTGGTGTGCTGTGGTGTGCTGTGCTGTGCTGTGCTGTGCTGTGGTGTGCTGTGGTGTGGTGTGGTGTGGTGCTGTGCTGTGCTGTGCTGTGCTGTGCTGTGCTGTGCTGTGGTGTGGTGTGGTGCTGTGCTGTGCTGTGCTGTGCTGTGCTGTGGTGTGGTGTGGTGCTGTGCTGTGCTGTGCTGTGGTGTGCTGTGGTGTGCTGTGGTGTGCTGTGCTGTGCTGTGCTGTGCTGTGCTGTGCTGTGGTGTGCTGTGGTGTGCTGTGGTGTGCTGTGGTGTGCTGTGGTGTGCTGTGGTGTGCTGTGGTGTGCTGTGCTGTGCTGTGCTGTGCTGTGCTGTGCTGTGCTGTGCTGTGCTGTGCTGTGCTGTGCTGTGCTGTGGTGTGCTGTGGTGTGCTGTGGTGTGCTGTGGTGTGCTGTGCTGTGCTGTGCTGTGCTGTGCTGTGCTGTGCTGTGCTGTGCTGTGGTGTGCTGTGGTGTGCTGTGGTGTGCTGTGGTGTGCTGTGGTGTGGTGCTGTGCTGTGCTGTGCTGTGCTGTGGTGTGCTGTGGTGTGCTGTGGTGTGCTGTGCTGTGCTGTGGTGTGCTGTGCTGTGCTGTGCTGTGCTGTGCTGTGCTGTGCTGTGGTGTGCTGTGGTGTGGTGTGGTGTGGTGCTGTGCTGTGCTGTGCTGTGCTGTGCTGTGCTGTGCTGTGCTGTGCTGTGCTGTGCTGTGCTGTGCTGTGCTGTGCTGTGCTGTGCTGTGGTGTGCTGTGGTGTGCTGTGGTGTGCTGTGGTGTGCTGTGGTGTGCTGTGCTGTGCTGTGCTGTGGTGTGCTGTGGTGTGGTGTGGTGTGGTGCTGTGCTGTGCTGTGCTGTGCTGTGCTGTGCTGTGCTGTGGTGTGCTGTGGTGTGGTGTGGTGTGGTGCTGTGCTGTGCTGTGCTGTGCTGTGCTGTGCTGTGCTGTGCTGTGCTGTGCTGTGCTGTGCTGTGCTGTGCTGTGCTGTGCTGTGCTGTGCTGTGCTGTGCTGTGGTGTGCTGTGGTGTGCTGTGGTGTGCTGTGCTGTGCTGTGCTGTGGTGTGCTGTGGTGTGGTGTGCTGTGGTGTGGTGCTGTGCTGTGCTGTGCTGTGCTGTGCTGTGCTGTGGTGTGCTGTGGTGTGGTGTGGTGTGGTGCTGTGCTGTGCTGTGCTGTGCTGTGCTGTGCTGTGCTGTGCTGTGCTGTGGTGTGGTGTGGTGCTGTGCTGTGCTGTGCTGTGCTGTGCTGTGGTGTGGTGTGGTGCTGTGCTGTGCTGTGCTGTGCTGTGCTGTGCTGTGCTGTGCTGTGCTGTGCTGTGCTGTGCTGTGCTGTGCTGTGCTGTGCTGTGCTGTGCTGTGCTGTGCTGTGCTGTGCTGTGCTGTGCTGTGCGGTGTGCTGTGGTGTGCTGTGGTGTGCTGTGCTGTGCTGTGCTGTGGTGTGCTGTGGTGTGGTGTGGTGTGGTGCTGTGCTGTGCTGTGCTGTGCTGTGCTGTGCTGTGCTGTGCTGTGCTGTGGTGTGGTGTGGTGCTGTGCTGTGCTGTGCTGTGCTGTGCTGTGCTGTGCTGTGGTGTGGTGCTGTGCTGTGCTGTGCTGTGCTGTGCTGTGCTGTGCTGTGCTGTGCTGTGCTGTGCTGTGCTGTGGTGTGCTGTGGTGTGGTGTGGTGTGGTGCTGTGCTGTGCTGTGCTGTGCTGTGCTGTGCTGTGCTGTGCTGTGCTGTGCTGTGCTGTGCTGTGCTGTGCTGTGCTGTGGTGTGCTGTGCTGTGCTGTGGTGTGCTGTGGTGTGCTGTGGTGTGCTGTGGTGTGCTGTGGTGTGCTGTGCTGTGCTGTGCTGTGGTGTGCTGTGGTGTGGTGTGGTGTGGTGCTGTGCTGTGCTGTGCTGTGCTGTGCTGTGCTGTGCTGTGCTGTGCTGTGGTGTGGTGTGGTGCTGTGCTGTGCTGTGCTGTGCTGTGGTGTGGTGTGGTGCTGTGCTGTGCTGTGCTGTGGTGTGCTGTGGTGTGCTGTGGTGTGCTGTGCTGTGCTGTGCTGTGGTGTGCTGTGGTGTGGTGTGGTGTGGTGCTGTGCTGTGCTGTGCTGTGCTGTGCTGTGCTGTGCTGTGCTGTGCTGTGCTGTGCTGTGCTGTGCTGTGCTGTGCTGTGCTGTGGTGTGCTGTGGTGTGCTGTGGTGTGCTGTGCTGTGCTGTGCTGTGCTGTGGTGTGCTGTGCTGTGCTGTGGTGTGCTGTGGTGTGCTGTGGTGTGCTGTGGTGTGCTGTGGTGTGCTGTGCTGTGCTGTGCTGTGGTGTGCTGTGGTGTGGTGTGGTGTGGTGCTGTGCTGTGCTGTGCTGTGCTGTGCTGTGCTGTGCTGTGCTGTGGTGTGGTGTGGTGCTGTGCTGTGCTGTGCTGTGCTGTGGTGTGGTGTGGTGCTGTGCTGTGCTGTGCTGTGCTGTGCTGTGCTGTGCTGTGCTGTGCTGTGCTGTGCTGTGCTGTGCTGTGCTGTGCTGTGCTGTGCTGTGCTGTGGTGTGCTGTGGTGTGCTGTGGTGTGCTGTGCTGTGCTGTGCTGTGGTGTGCTGTGGTGTGGTGTGGTGTGGTGCTGTGCTGTGCTGTGCTGTGCTGTGCTGTGCTGTGCTGTGCTGTGCTGTGCTGTGCTGTGCTGTGCTGTGGTGTGGTGTGGTGCTGTGCTGTGCTGTGCTGTGCTGTGGTGTGGTGTGGTGCTGTGCTGTGCTGTGCTGTGCTGTGCTGTGCTGTGCTGTGCTGTGCTGTGCTGTGCTGTGCTGTGCTGTGCTGTGCTGTGCTGTGCTGTGCTGTGGTGTGCTGTGGTGTGCTGTGGTGTGCTGTGCTGTGCTGTGCTGTGGCTGTGCTGTGGTGTGCTGTGGTGTGGTGCTGTGCTGTGCTGTGCTGTGCTGTGCTGTGCTGTGCTGTGCTGTGCTGTGCTGTGCTGTGCTGTGCTGTGCTGTGCTGTGCTGTGCTGTGCTGTGCTGTGCTGTGCTGTGCTGTGCTGTGCTGTGCTGTGCTGTGCTGTGCTGTGCTGTGCTGTGCTGTGCTGTGCTGTGCTGTGCTGTGCTGTGCTGTGGTGTGCTGTGCTGTGCTGTGCTGTGGTGTGCTGTGGTGTGGTGTGGTGTGGTGCTGTGCTGTGCTGTGCTGTGCTGTGCTGTGCTGTGCTGTGCTGTGCTGTGCTGTGCTGTGCTGTGCTGTGCTGTGCTGTGCTGTGCTGTGCTGTGCTGTGGTGTGCTGTGGTGTGCTGTGGTGTGCTGTGCTGTGCTGTGCTGTGCTGTGCTGTGCTGTGCTGTGGTGTGCTGTGGTGTGCTGTGGTGTGCTGTGGTGTGCTGTGCTGTGCTGTGCTGTGCTGTGCTGTGCTGTGGTGTGCTGTGGTGCTGTGCTGTGGTGTGCTGTGGTGTGGTGTGGTGTGGTGCTGTGGTGTGCTGTGCTGTGCTGTGCTGTGGTGTGCTGTGCTGTGCTGTGCTGTGCTGTGCTGTGCTGTGCTGTGCTGTGCTGTGCTGTGCTGTGCTGTGGTGTGCTGTGGTGTGCTGTGGTGTGCTGTGCTGTGCTGTGCTGTGCTGTGCTGTGCTGTGCTGTGGTGTGCTGTGGTGTGCTGTGGTGTGCTGTGGTGTGCTGTGCTGTGCTGTGCTGTGCTGTGCTGTGCTGTGGTGTGCTGTGGTGCTGTGCTGTGGTGTGCTGTGGTGTGGTGTGGTGTGGTGCTGTGGTGTGCTGTGCTGTGCTGTGCTGTGCTGTGCTGTGCTGTGGTGTGCTGTGGTGTGCTGTGGTGTGCTGTGCTGTGCTGTGCTGTGCTGTGGTGTGCTGTGGTGTGCTGTGGTGTGCTGTGCTGTGCTGTGGTGTGATTTTTGAGGCGCCTCAAAGATGTGTTCATTCCCTGCATTCTCTGTGTTGTGCTGCTGTCGTGTGATTTTGTTTGTGGTGTTATGCTATGCTATTGGGTGTGGTGTTGTGTCGTGCGCTGTGGTGTGGTCTGGTGTCATGGTCTTTGTGGTGGTGTGATGCTGTTTGATGTGGTGCTGTGCGGTGTGATTGGTTTTACAGAGGATGGAGGATGCACGTCGGGCTATAGCTAGCTGCACTGCCAATGGTGTTGTTGTCACGTCAAAGAAACTGCAACTCTGGAAGGTTGGTATCGCTCCTTAACGCCCCTTTGGAAGGTGGGTACTGCTCAATATTGCCCCTATGGAAGACGGGTATTGCTCCTTAACGCCCCTATGGAAGGTGGGTATCTCTCCTGAACGCCCCTATGGAAGGTGGGGTGGGTGTTGCTCACGATTGCCCCTATGGGAGGTGGTTATTGCTCATTCTTGCCCCTATGGAAGGTGGGGTATTGCTCATTAGTGCCCTTGTAGGAGGTTGGTATTTCTCAGCACTACCCCTGGGTATCGCTCAGCATTGCCCCTGGGTATTGCTCATCATTGCGACTATGGAATGTGGAAGTTACTCAGTATAGCAAGTTGCAACTATTCATCCTGCTACGAATCGACTGAAAACTGAGGTGACTTTCGAGTCGACTCAAAAGTCACCTCTTTACAATGGCACACGGCACGGCACACTTGCTCAGTATTGCATCTATTAAATCCTGCTTCGAGTCGAATTAAAACTCGCTCCTGTGGAAGCTGGGCACCGCTCATTATTGTGATCCGCTCTCCTTCCTCCTCTCTCTTCTCTCCTCTCTCCTTCCTCCTCTCTCTTCTCTCCTCTGTCCACTCGCATCCCTCAGCTCTCTTCTCCGCACTTCTTTCTTGCCTAAGCATGCGATGCATCGGACGATGAAATCTACTCATTCCTCGAGTGCTACCCAAACAGATTATGCCTCCATGCCCTCCTCTCTACTCCGCTCCTCTCTCTCCCTCCTCTCTCCTCTTCCCCCCACAGGGCTATGCATGTGATGCATCGGACGATGAAATCTACTCATTCCTAGAGTACGACCCAAGCAGCCTATTCCCCCCCCCCCCCCCCACTCTCCTTTCACTCTTGAATCTCTTCTCTTTACCCACAGGGCTATGCATGTGACGCATCGGACGATGACATCTACTCATTCCTCGAGTGCTACCCAAACCGACTGTGTGTCTCTATCCTCTATCCTCTCTTGTCTTGTCCTCCCACAGGGCTATGCATGTGACGCATCGGACGATGACATCTACTCATTCCTCGAGTGCTACCCAAACCGACTGTGTGTCTCTATCCTCTATCCTCTCTTGTCTTGTCCTCCCACAGGGCTATGCATGTGACGCATCGGACGATGACATCTACTCATTCCTCGAGTGCTACCCAAACCGACTGTGTGTCTCTATCTTCTATCCTCTCTTGTCTTGTCCTCCCACAGGGCTATGCATGTGACGCATCGGACGATGACATCTACTCATTCCTCGAGTGCTACCCAAACCGACTGTGTGTCTCTATCCTCTATCCTCTCTTGTCTTGTCCTCCCACAGGGCTATGCATGTGATGCATCGGATGATGACATCTACTCATTCCTAGAGTACGACCCCAATAGGCTGTGCCCGGATGACTGGATGGCGACCCAGGCGCTCATATTCACCCACAACTGCTTCTCCCTGCCCAAGCGCCGCTGCATGGCGCGCACTAATCAAAGGTGGACCGAGGTGCGTTGAATCTGGACCGAAGAACATCGAATCTGGACTAGGTACGTTGAATCTGGACTGGCTGGCGACCCAGGCGCTCATATTCACCCACAACTGCTTCGCGCTGCCCAAGCGCCGCTGCATGGCGCGCACCAACCAGAGATGGAGTGTGGTACGGTGAATCTAGAATGGGGTACATTGATGATTGAATCTAGACCGAAGTGCGTTGTATCTGCTTACCCCCATGCGCCCAGCCCCTGCCCTTCCCAGCAGCATTGTTCACTGAAGGACGAGAACGTTCATTGGAGCCTGCACTCCTGCAATTTGCTCCCGCCTGTCTCTACTGCCCATGTGACAGTAGAGACAGGCATGCTCCTCTCTACCGCCTGTCTCTACTGCCCGTGGGACAGATCCTCCTCGCCTGTTCTCTTAGGCGCACTGAAGGACGAGAACGTTCATCGGAGCCTGCACTCCTGCAATTTGCTCCCACCCGCCTGTCTCTGCTGCCCATGGGACGGATCTTCCTCTCCCTGCCTGCGGCCCTCCCCTCTCCCCCAGCCCTGCCCTTCCCAGTAGCACTGTCCTGTTCTCTTAGGCGCACTAAAGGACGAGAACGTGCGGTGGAGCCTGCACTCGTGCAAGTCCTTCCCGCCTGCCTCAGCACCCGGATGGTAGGGTGTTGGGGAAATGTCTGTGTGTGTGATACCACCCCTCCCTCCCAATTCTCTGCTCGCCCCCCTGCCGCCTCCCAGCCGCTCCCCTTCCCTGCAGCGCTGTTCACCCAGGCCGCACTAAAGGACGAGAACGTGCGGTGGAGCCTGCACTCGTGCAAGTCCTTTACCTGCCTCAACACGCGTGTGGTGGGGGACTGACTGACTTTCTGATAGCTCCCCCCCCCACCCCCCTGTTTCCCCCCCTTCCCCCCTGCCTGTATCCTCGCACCCGCACCCCCTTCCCAGCCCCTGCCCTTCCCAGCGTCTCTCTTCACGCAGTCTGCGCTAAAGGACGAGAACGTGCGGTGGAGCCTGCACTCCTGCAAGTCCTTTCCCTGCCTCAACACGCGTGTGGTGGGGGACTGTCGCAACTGCTTCAACCTCACTCTTGAGAAGAACCGATGGCAGCGGGGGTTCCGAGGGTCTCTGCCCATTCCCGTTGTCGTCAGAATGAAGCGAGGGTCGTTGAGGTGAGAGGAGGGTGGGTAGGGTGGGTATGACTGCTCAAAAGCTGGAGCAGAACCGATGGCAGCGCGGGTTCAGAGGGTCGCTGCCCATTCCCGTCGTCATCCGAATGAAGCGAGGGTCATTGAGGTGAGAGGAGGGTGACGAAGGTCCCATACAGGCAAGCTGCCTTAGCCCTGTGTGGGGTGGGTGGGACTCCCGTAAGAGCAAGCAGCCTTGGCGAGTCGCGAGTGTCGCAACTGCTTCAACCTCCCGCTGGAGAAGAAGCGATGGCAGCGCGGTTTCAGAGGGTCGCTGCCAATTCCTTTTGTCATCAAGTTGAATCGAGGATCGTTGAGAGGTGAGAGTGGGTTGAACCCAAAACCCTATTCTGCATGTCCTTTCTCACTACTCGGTTCCTCTCTCACTGAATTATTGTGACAGATTTCAAGAAGAACAAATCACACTCCAGAAAAAATCCATGCCAATCACTCCTCAACCCTGTTTTCTCCTGCCTGCTCTCCCTCCTGCGGGCTCGGGCTAGACGCGGGAGGAGGCACGGGGACATTAGCATTGCCCTACACCACGTACCAACTCCAACTGACTCTCCTCCCTGCACACCTCCTCCTGCAGGCTTGGGCTAGACGCGGGAGGAGGCACAGGGACATTAGCATTGCCCTACACCACGTACCAACTCCAACTGACTCTCCTCCCTGCACACCTCCTCCTGCAGGCTTGGGCTAGACGCGGGAGGAGGCACAGGGACATTAGCATTGCCCTACACCACGTACCAACTCCAACTGACTCTCCTCCCTGCACACCTCCTCCTGCAGGCTTGGGCTAGACGCGGGAGGAGGCACAGGGACATTAGCATTGCCCTACACCACGTACCAACTCCAACTGACTCTCCTCCCTGCACACCTCCTCCTGCAGGCTTGGGCTAGACGCGGGAGGAGGCACAGGGACATTAGCATTGCCCTACACCACGTACCAACTCCAACTGACTCTCCTCCCTGCACACCTCCTCCTGCAGACTCGGGCTAGACGCGGGAGGAGGCTCGGGGACGTTTGCAGCGCACATGGCGCTATACAACGTGACGATTCTCACGACAGCGATGAATGTGGAGACGGTGGCAGGGCGCACAGGCGGACTGCCTTACATGGAAACTCTGGCTCACCGCGGGCTCATTCCCCTCTGGTTACCACACAAGGTAGTGTGCGAGTGGTTACCACACAAGGTAGTGTGCGAGTGGTTACCACACAAGGTAGTGTGCGAGTGGTTACCACACAAGGTAGTGTGCGAGTGGTTACCACACAAGGTAGTGTGCGAGTGGTTACCACACAAGGTAGTGTGCGAGTGGTTACCACACAAGGTAGTGTGCGAGTAAAGGGACTGAAAAGCTGAACACTGAAGTAAGGTGAATGTGGAGACAGTGGCAGGGAGGACAGGCGGACTGCCTTACATGGACACCCTGGCTCACCGGGGGCTCATCCCCCTCTGGTTACCACACAAGGTACTGTGCGAGTAGGTAGCACGCAAGGCAGTGTGCGAGGGGTTACCACACAAGGCAGTGTGCGAGTGGGTTGCAGCGCACATGGCACTTTCGAAAGTGACTAATGGAGTGAATGAAATCGCTCCCTTAGCCAAACGTTAAGCATCTACGCGCTTGCTTTTGAACGCTAAGCGCGAACGCTTGGCTCTTTACAAGTGTCAAAAGAAAACAAGGCAAAGCTCATGGCACTGCGTCGACTCTCCTTGAAAACACCCTAGATGTCGTGCATTCCAGCAACAGCATCAAGTATCTCCTTGTGTTGGCACGCGCTGTGTTCCTCTCCCTCTCTCCCAACTCCCTTCCCCCGCACAGGCTCGCTTGCCGCTCTTTGACAACACACTAGACCTGGTGCACTGCGTCGACAGCATCAAGTATCTCCCTGTGTTGGCACGCACTGTCTTCTGCTCCCTTCTCGTGCACTGCGTCGACAGCATCTATTAACTCCCTGTGTTCACACGTGCAGTCTGCCTACAGCATCCCGTATCCCCTTGCATTGTCTCCCCACCCCCTCCCTCACACAGGCTCGCTTGCCTCTCTTTGACAACACAACACGCTAGACCTGGTGCACTGCGTCGACAGCATGTATTACCTGCCTGTGTTCACACGTGCATTCTGTATACAGCATCCAGTATCTCCTTGCGTTGTCTCCCCACCCCTTCCCCGGCACAGGCACGCTTGCCTCTCTTTGACAACACACTAGACCTCGTTCACTGCGTCAACAGCATCAAGTATCTGCCAGTGTTGGAATTCGAGGAGCTCATATTCGAGTGGGACAGGGTTCTTCGAGTCGGTAAGTGGGAGATTGTATGTGTATGCGTGTGCGTGTGCGTGCGCGTCTGCGTGTGCTCGCATGTGTGTGCGTGTGCGTGCGCGTCTGCGTGTGCTCGCATGTGTGTGCGTGTGCGCGCGCGTCTGCTTGAACAGCATCAAGTATCTGCCTGTGTTGGAATTCGAGGAGCTCATATTCGAGTGGGACAGGGTTCTCCGAGTCGGTGAGTGGGAAACATACCATGTTTCGTTTGCTTTCTGTTTTTGTTTGTTTGTTTGTTTGTTTGTTTGTTTGTTTGCTTTTGTTTTTTAATGTACTGCTCGTACCACTGTCTCAAGGTGAGTCTCAAGGAATCCCTGTGTCATGGCTATGGTGGGGTTTGCATGTTTTGGTCTTGTTATGCGGATCAAGTATTAAACTTGCATGTACTGGTTTAGAGAGTCCTGTTACAAGAGACCATCACCCTGTGTCGTCTTCACTAACTTTTCATGTCAAATTCCCTCCGTTTCCCCAAAGGTTATTTTCCCTGCCTTTGTTTGGGATTTCATGCCTAGTATACACTGAAGTTTAGCATACATTGTTGTCTCGTCCACTTGCCAACCCAATCTCATTATTTTGCAGGTGGAGTCATGTGGTTTGAAATGTTCTACGCGCCTCTTGATGAAATGCCACTCTATATCGCAATAATCGAGCAGCTACAGTACAAGAAGCTACATTGGAACATTACTCCTAAGCCCGACAGTGGCGAGCGGAAGGGAATGCATGTCTATTTGAACTGTGTTATCGAGAAACCTGTGCGACGAGACAGATAAAGCAGTCGAGTTGAGCCAACTGTCTTGTGCAGCACTTTCCTCATTGCGCACTTTCTTTCCTTGTATAATGAAGTGTAGTTTTTATCTCCTCCACATGTCCTTGGGGACGCTGCTGTTGGGTTGCTTTGCAAGACATTGGTGTCAAGTCAAGCTCTGTTGCTGCGTGGCCATGGTAGCACCTACTGTGAAGGAGCAGGACGAGCTTCTGGCATCCGTGTAGGTCAATATCTTCTAGAGGAACTGCCACTGGCAAGGCAACCCTTTGCATAGGCTAATAGCTACCCTATGTTGCATAGCTCTGTTGCTGCGTGCGTGGCCATGGTAGCTAGCACCTGCTGCGAAGGAGCAGGACGAGCTGGTGGCATTCCGTGTAGGTTAATTACTTCTAGAGGAACTGCCACTGGCAACTCTTTGCATAGGCTAATACCGTAGCTACCCTATGTTTCTGACTAGACTGTACACTTTACACTTGCCACCTTACATTACGTTAATCTCTGAACCCTTGCTGCTTACAGCCTTCTTGGCCATGAAAGCCAGGAAAAGGACGGAGAGATAATGGAAGAGGATACGGACGTTTGTGAAGGAGACGAATGCAGAGTTTCCACTGTCATCACACTTGTAGATGCTGTGCTGCTCGTAGCTGCAGGGGCAGCAGCCCCACACTCTCCCTTGTTTGAATTTCCTCTTTGCATCCTAGCAGCGAAGCTGAGACGCCCTCTCACTCCACCAGGCCGCCCTTTGCTGATTGAAATGGCTTGTTGCTGTAAGGGGGTCTGCCTATACCTCACAATCTCTCCGCCTTGACCCCTCACCCAGGGATCGCTCAAAATCTCCTCAGCCGTCGGCCGCATCTCAGGATCTACGGACAGCATCCGACGGACGAGATTCTTCGCCTGCCGCGACACAAACCACCAGCAGGAATCCTCCCAGTCCCTGCTCTCATCCAATCGCCTCACCCCGCCATCAAACGACGGCCAGCACCCGGACAGCATGGCATAGAGGGTAACCCCTAGGCTCCAGATATCCGCGCTACAGTCATACGAATCTCCAGCAATCATCTCGGGGGCTTCGTACGGGAAGCTTCCGCCGTACCCCACAGCTTCTTGATCGGCGCGCAGGTGGAGTGAGATGCCGAAATCCGCCAGCTTGGCCGTATAGAGCCTTAGATCGTCCATTACTTGATCATCACTGGTATTGGTAGTAGTAGTAGCAAGAGAAGTAGCACTACTCCTGCTGGAGGGGCTGCTGTTTGGATCGGAAGACGACATTTCGTTGGAGGACGCACGGACTTCACGCGGTTGTGCAGCCATCGCAGCGGCACTACCGGCGTGACGGTGACTCATGCCATCATGGCTGTGCCGCATTTCGTGCAGCGGCTTGGGGCAGAGGAGGACGTTCTCGAGCTTGATATCGCGATGCATCACGCCGCGTTCGTGGCACTGACGCACCGCCATCGCCATGTCTCTGAACACGCTGCGCGCCTCGCGCTCGGGAATCCGCCCCCTTTCTTCGACGCGGCGCAGGAGATCGCCTCCCGCGCACAGCTCCATTACTAAATACAGCGACTTGGCTTCCGCGTCGCGGTATATGTCTTTAAGCGCCGCCACGTGGCTGCAGTCGTCTAAAAGCAACAAGTTCCGGATTTCTCGCCGAGCCGCGTGCATGGCTGTGACGGGATTTTTCAAGCTGAGCGAGTCGCCGACGAGCTTGCAAGCGAACTGCTCTCCAGTGGCGCGATTGACGCAGCGATGCACCACGCCGTATTGCCCGCGACCGAGCTCCTCTCTTAACTCGTACTGGCGATGGAACTCGTTGAAAGAAGGTGAAAATAAGGCCATTCAGCGGCTGGCGTCGATCTGGCGATTAACGAAGTGTGGATTTAATTAATTCAAGTTTGAAAGTGATATTACGATGAAAACTGTGAACCTTTGTAGTAGACGGTGTCGCCTGCTCTGGTGCTATCAGGATCACTAGTTTGCCCGTGTCAGAGTCTCGTGTGAAAGGAGAAATAATAGAGCGGGGAGTGAAAAGGAAGAGTGAGAAATTGAGGGTAGTGATCAGCATTTTGAAGGCACCGTTTGCTCCAGGTCGTACGGTTTCCAACTGTTTGACTCGGCAGAACGATACCGTGGGATTCGCGAAAGCGCTGTTCGGTAGCAACGCGATGCTCGCTAAGAAGGTAACTATTTTCGCGGTTCCCGTGAGTTCGCGAATCAAGGTTGTGCGGGGTGGGCGGAGTGGCTTTGGGACTATCGGGTTACCCAAGCCGGCTCGCGACAGGCAAGAAAGTTGTCGCCGGCCCTCGAACTCTATTCGTCCAATAGGTCAACGCGGACAGCCCGGCTGTACGGAACCACCAGCATTTCCACTGAGATGAGCCGCGTTTGAACGGCAGCTTAGTCAGCGGGCAGTCAAAACGTCAACTCCTGAAACCGCGTTTCAGGTGGAAAGTTCGCCGTGGCGAAACCAAACGGTTTGTCAGCTGCCCGCAAGCACAAAAACACCCCCTGCCATCCTTTCAGGGTATAGTGGGAGTTTGTTATTTCACGGTCAGTTGACGGCCCGACATCCATCGACGTCACCCCGGTTTCCAAATGCAGAAGGATCAGCTTTGCTTGGCATATCCCTGATATCGATGTAGTACTGTATCACCTCTACCAGACGTTCGTGTGTAGTTTAGATGGTACACCAAAATGCGCATATGGAAAACGGTTTGTCTATGGATTGATCCAGTCACTTATAAATGGTTCCACACAAGAAATTTAGCTTTAGCAGCAACAATGTCATTGGTGTTGTTTCTGGTGTGTTTTTTTTCCTCTTGTACTCACTCTTCCTACCTCTGAGCTGCCCTACAATAAGCCTCGCTGCGTAACAGATAACGTGACATTCCGACTTACCCTAAAATCAGTTGTTTTTCATGGCGCCTCTGTTACCTTTCTCCTACTATTTGTCGGAGCCCATACCAGTAGAGGAATCCAATATAGAGGAATCCTACAAGCAAAAGATTGTCCTATGGATGCATTGAAGAAAACGCGACCGATACGTTATGTCAAAGGCTATACATTTGCAATAGGTATTAATACAAAGAAATTACACAAAACCTAACGCGGCATGCAGACACGCGGTCCACTTGTTAGGAAACTTATATCAGCTATTAAGGCTTAGGCGCTTTCCTCCTCGCCCTTTCCTGTGGACTTCTTCGACAACAAGACGGATTGGATGTTCGGAAGCACACCACCAGCCGCAATCGTAACAGCTCCTAGAAGCTTGCTTAGTTCTTCGTCATTTCTCACAGCGCGCTGGATGTGGCGAGGAACGATTCTGGTCTTCTTGTTGTCACAAGCGGCGTTCCCAGCAAGCTCAAGAACTTCAGTAGCCAAGTATTCGAGAACGACGGCCAGGTAAAGGGGTAGCATACATTCCAGCATTCAAGAACCTGACAATTCTTCCGACGAGACATTGAAGCCCAGCCTTTGCAGAACGACTGACGGCCTTCTTGCCTGAGGATTTTCCACGGCCAGACATGATAGCGGTTCCTCGTTCTGGCCGTTTCTAGCTCCAGCTACTCCTATCCTGCCTCTCCTATTCCTAGCTAGCCTTTACCATGGCGTCCGTTAAGGCTCTGCAGCAGCAGCGGCAGTGTCAGCGGTGGGAACCTCAACAGCAGTGGCGCCCTCCGCAGTAGTGGGGGCCTGGTGGTCCGGGTAGCGTTGGATGCAGTAGCTGCCCAGCCAGCTGGGGGGCTCATCGTGGTGGCCGCGACGTCGGCCCCTGCCAGTACCGAATCCTGACTGGTCCTGGTGCTGGCACTACCTGCTGGCGTCCTAACCAGTCTGCATAGCGCTGCTACAGTCGTCTCGACGACCTATACAATGAGCGTTTTGGGCCTGACTCGAGACCACCGATCTGGCCCGGTCTCTCTTGTAGTGGTTACCCTGTATTTGATATGTCTATGGATGCTGCTTATTCTGCCACGTATGTATCTCTTGGCTAGCTTAGGACCTTTGGCTGTTGCTAGTGTAAGTACATGTGATTTTAGTATAGATGCTTGTATAGTCACTAGTCTAGCCGTGACGACTGCTGTCGCGTCGCTCTCCTTCACGCTGGACTCAGGCACGTCTCAGTGCTTCTTCCGTGACAGCACTACTGTCACACCTCTTTCGGCTCCGGTCCCAGTTGCCCTGGCTGATCCTACTTCAGGACCAGCATTCGCTCGCAGCTCGACCACTCTCCCGTGCCCGGCTATCCCTTCTGGTTTCCTCACTGGTCTCTACATCCCCTCGTTCTCTCGGAACTTGGTGGGTGTTAGATACCTTCAGGACCGTGGGATCACATTCACTTTTCCTGCGCACGGGAGAACGACGATCTGTACGGATGCTTCCACTGGGGCACTTCTTGCCACGTTCACCAGGAAGCCCCACTCAGGTCTTCGATCTGCACACTGCGTCCCCCCAGGTAGTAGAGTCCGGTCAGAATATTGCGTCCAGTCAGGCTGCTGTGTCCGGTCTGGTTGCTGCGTCTTGCTCTTGTTGGTCACACTCCCACCCGACAGTCTTGTGGCACCATTTTCTTGGTCACCCGTCCTTACCACGCCTCCATAGCATGGCCAGCCATCATCTTGTCTCAGGTCTCTCGCGGGTCTTTGAGTCGCTCCCTCGTTCGCCTGCGCTGCCGTGCACTCCTTGCGTCGAGGGTCGACTGCGCGCCACTCCTCACTCCTCCTCCCTTCGTCCTGCCACCGCTCCCTTCCACACCCTCCACTTGGACGTCTGGGGCCCAGCCCCTCGTCTTGGACCCGAGCGGGAGCACTACTTCCTCGTGGTCGTTGACGACTACTCCAGGTACATCATGGTGTTTCTTCTTGTTAAGAGGTCTGAGGTGACTTTTACGCTGATCCGGTGGCTCCTGGCCACTGAGGGCACTCGTGGTAGTCGTGTCAGCTGTCTCCACTCCGACCGTGGGTGTGAGTTCCGCTCCGACGTACTTGCCGGGTTCTGTGGCGAGGAGGGCATCACCCAGTCCTTGACTCTTTCGGAGTCCCCACAGCAGAATGGGGTTGCTGAGCGCCGCATTGGCTTAGTAATGGAGATTCCCCGCACCTCCATGATCCATGCCCGTGCGCCCCATTTTCTGTGGCCCTATGCGGTTCGCTACGCCGCCCACCAGCTGAACCTCTCGCCTCGTGTCTCACGACCAAGGGCTTCACCGACCAGTCTTTGGACCGGGTCCCCTGGTGTTGCGTCGGAGTTTCACATTTGGGGCTGACTTGCGCTTGTCCGCGACACCTCTGCGGATAAGCTCTTGGCTCGCGCCATCCCCTGTGTCCTCCTTGGTTTTCCGGTGGAATCTCCTGACTTTTCGTTTTACCACCCACCCCTCCACCATTTCCGTGACTTCCGTGACGTCCGGTTTGACGAGTCTGTGTCCTACTACACCGGTACCCCTGTCGAGGTCTCCTGGTCCCCCCTCCTCCTCTTTTCCTCGCACCCTCTCCTCCTCATGTTCCCGCTTCTTCGGTACCCCCGCCAACCCCCTAGTCCTGCCCCGTCAGGTGTGTCTCACGCTACCCCTCTACCCTAAGTCGCACGTCAGGTAGCGTCTCCCTTCCCGTAGTCCTCCTCACAGTCCCCTCAGCAGCCTTTAGCACTTCCGCGACAGGTTACTGTGGGCTCAGAGGGTGTTGGAGCTGAAGGTGCTACCACTGGTGGTACTCGGCCTGGGGGTGCTCCTTCGAGGGGTGTTGGAGCTGGAGGTGCTGGCCCTAGATGTGCTAGTTTGGGGGGTGCTGGAGCTGGAGGTGCTGGCACTAGTGGTGCTAATTCTGGGGGTGCTGGACCTGGAGGTGCTGACATTGGAGGTGCTAGTTCTGGGGGTGCTGGAGCAGGAGGTACTGGCACTGGAGGTGCTAGTTGTGAGGAGGCTGGAGCTAGAGGCACTACTACTGCGCCTCACCACCGCCACGACACACGTTTCCAGGCTCTTTGCCGACGTGAGCGTGAGGAGCAGGTGCGGTTGGAGCAGGAGAGGTAGGAGCTGGAGCACTTAGACCAGTAGGAGCAGGAGGAGGAGCAGCAACAGCAGCAGCAGCAGCGGCAGCAGCAGCAGCACCAGCAGCCGCCGCAGCTGCCTCTTGTGCGGCAGTTGTTCCCACCCGTGAATGGCATTCGGGCTCTTGGTCTTCCCTACTCTTCTCCTGTCCGCTCTCTGTCTCCCCCTGCCTTCGGTCCTACGTTTCCTCCTCCGGACGCGTCACCTGCTATTTCACCTCCTCCTCGGTCCCCGTCTCCTCCTCCCGTTGTCCCGCACTTTCGTGTCCGTCCCTGTCCTCCTCGTGCTCGTCCCTCCTCTCCCTCTGACGACCTCTGCACTGCCCTCCTTTGTTCTAGTCATCGCCGTTCTCCGCTTGAGTCTGTTCTTCTGTCACCTCCTGAGTCGTCTCTCACTGTCTCCCCTACTCCTATCTCTGACTACTACTGTGCTGCTCGCAATGTTGTCTCTCGAGTTCTGGCCTCCCTTGTCACCAACCCACGTGCCTCTCCGACGTCTGTCTCGGCTCTTACTGCCGCTGTCGGTGACTTTGCTACCACCCGCCGCCTTGACTACGCCACGCGTGTGGTGGCTGCCCGTCCTCTGTCTGTCAGGGGTTAGTCTTCCCTTGGGTGTGACGTCCTAGAGGACAGGCAGTTTGAGATGGAGTTCTTGGCAGCCGCTTCTCCCTCTCTCTGTGCCATGTTGCTTTCCCCTGAGGGAGACCCCGACTCCCTTGACATACCGACTCCTCGCACGTACCGTGCTGACTTACTATCAAGAATTGTGGCTGGTTTTTTAATATTTAGAATAGACATTCGTGAGGCAGTGTCAGGGGAATGGGCCTCTTAGTGGAAAGCGGCCATGGACTCAGAGTTGGCGTCTTGGAGATCCACAGGCACCTACGTCGACGTAGTTCCCCCTCACAGGGCGAACGTTGTCGATGGCATGTGGCTCTTCAAGGTGAAGCGGCCACTTGGTCGCCGCCTGTGTTCAAGGTGCGCTACGTGGCTAGGGGCTTCAGTCAGCTTGAGGGAGTTGACTTCGTCCAAACCCCGAAGATGACTACTCTTTGGTTGTTACTTCACGTAGCAGCCCAACGAGACAACGAGCTGCACTCCCTCGACTTCTCCACTGCGTTTCTCCAGGGCCGCCTGCACGAGGAGATCTGGCTCCAACGTCCTCTTGGCTTCACTGACACCTTCCCACCTGGGACCAAGTGGAGCCTGAGGCGACCAGTCTACGGTCTCCGCCAGTCGCCCCGTGAGTGGCACGACACTCTTCGCTCCACGCTTTGTGACTTTGGGTTAATTCCTTCCGCTGCCAACCCGTCGATGTTTTATCGCGCTGGCTCCACTCCTTTCTTTATACTGGTCTCCGTCGACGACCTGGTATATGCTACAGCAGACAGGGCGGCTCTGGCTGAGGTGAAGTCCAAACTGCAGAAGAGACACACGTGCACTGACCTCGGTGAACTGCAGCGCTACCTTGGCCTGCAGATCACCTTGGGTTTCAGTTCTCCACCACACAACCCACTCCTCTTGCCGTCAACCACAGACTCACCGGCCCTTTTCCCGACGAGCCCTTTGAGTCCAGTGGTCCCTACGCTGAGCTTGTGGCTGCCTTATGTACCTAATGACGCGTACTCGACCGGACCTCGCCTTTCCCCTCAGCGTCCTCTCTCGCTTTGTTGCGACTGGGAGACACCGTCATGTTCACTGGACGGCTGCTGTGAGGGTGGCGAAGTACATGGCGACTACATCAGGCATGGGGCTTGTGCTTGGAGGGACAGAGCCAGTTGTGCTGACCGGTCACTTCGACTCTTTCTACGCCGAAGACGCGGAGACTAAGCGCTCGACTCAGGAGTACTGCTTCGGTTTGGGTGCTGGAGCTGTGTCGTGGCGGTCTACTCGGTCGTCGTCTGTTGCTATATCCAATGTTGAGGCTGAGATCTACGCCGGTGCCATAGCTGCGCAGGAGCTTCGCTGGTTGACTTTCTTACTCACCGACCTTGGTGAGTGGCCTCGCTCTGCACCGACCTTGTTCGCTGATAACAAGGTCATGATTCTCCTGTGTCGAGAGCCTCGACTGGAGAGCAGAGTGAAGCACAACGACGTCACTTATTTTCTCCTGCGAGAGTTGCAGCAACGTGGTCAGGCACGCTTGGACTTTGTGGCCTCAGTGGCCAACACTACAGACATCTTGACCAAGGCACTTCCACCTTTTGACCACCGCAGGTTCTGTCTGCAGTTAGGCCTTGTTTAGGCAGGCCCTCGACTGCTGTAGTATTGCCTCTTGTTGCTTGTACTTGCGTTTATATATACTTGTGAACTCTTGAACTGGCCTTGTGGCCGAGTGCTTGTGCTTGGACTGTGTGGTGACATTGTGATCCACCCTGCGCTTGCTGTGTTTCTTCTCTTTACAGGTCTTGTGACCACTTGCCTGTTCTGATCGTTTTGATGCCCCTCACTTAGGCTATGGGGGTGTGTCAGATTTATGTTATATAGCTATTTACCCTGTAGTGAGTTGCATGCTAGGGGGTACATAATTTCACTCGACACTCTCCTTGTACCCATCCCCTTTGACCTAATTCATCATTCCGCTGTACTCTGATAAACGTATCTTATACATGAAAAACCGGTTATAAATCATTGTCGCATTTCACGGATTAGTACACATAAGTAGTTAGTCAATTTGCCATTTTCAATTTTGTGTATTCTTTAGTAAATTAGCTTTTGTCCTCACCATGCTCTTGCAAAGATATTATATCAGGCACTTGCTAATAGAGCAGCTCCAATCTGTGGTATACTGTAGCGATTCGTGCAAATCGAGGATGCTCAAATCTCTGATGCTCGCCTGTCCGCTGTCTGGCTCCCTTCACTGGATCTGTAGGTTGGTTTCACTTCCTTATCCAACACCTCTTTGCTCGCATTTCCTGCGTTCGCCGCGCCACCTGCCGGTGCTTCTCTCGATAACTCTGTGAAGGATTTTCCTTCGTTTCGCCTCGCGGCAATGGCGGCGGCATCGAGCCGCCAGGGTCCATGGGGAGGCCTGCTGTGCGGCCTGGCGCTGATCCTGATCTGCGTCATGGCTTTCTCGATCCGCCTCTTCTCGGTGAGATTCCAAATTCTACTCGTTGGATTATCCCAAGAATTTCTGGTCGGGACGAGTTTTTTATTTTACGAGTCGTCAAGAAGGTCCCAGCACAATATTCGTAACATAGGACGCTAAGCTCCGTGACATTTCACAACATATTCGTAAATATAATTACAAACAGCAGCACGAAAGGCAAAAGTGCGAGTTTTACGGATTTGATTCGGTGCTATTAGCTGCTGCCTCGAGCCATGTAAAAGGGTCGTCTTGGCCACTTCGCGTACTTGATGATCAACGATCAGGCACTTGAACCACAGGCGGCTTAGCTTCGTCGGAAATCCGTCAGATCTGGATCACAAACGTCAGCTCTCGTGTCCAGGCAAACCGTTACCTTGGTAAACTTCAGCTCTCGTCTCCCGTTCTCCACTACTCGGCAACGCACGCTAACCGAGAACACCTGGGGCTGTATCGTTGACCACACAGATGGGTCATACTTTCCGACGATTGTCCGACCAGGCTTGGATCTCTAGTGGTCGATTTTAATCGACGCGCTTGATCTAGGACCGAAGTAGAGTACTAGAGTGTTTCCGCTTTCATCTTTCACTCGCGTCCTTCATGGCCGTTATCCTCTTGCACACACACACGGCCAGGCCAACTATCGGTAATCTCTTGCAGTTGAATGAAACATCTGGATCGCTCCGAATACCATGCGGTCATGGATTCTGGTGCTGCCTTTGCCTTGCGTCTGTCCAGAACAGGTGATCCCTCACGAGACCGTCATTCACGACTTCGACCCCTACCCACATGCTGCCATGACCATGTAGAACGCTCAACATACCCCGCGAATCTTGCCTCTCCTCTTTCTTCCGTCCGTCCATGCGCAGGTGATCAAGTACGAGAGCGTCATTCACGAGTTCGACCCCTACTTCAACTACCGCGTCACCCAGGTGATTCCCGTCACCCAGGTGATTCCCGTCACCCACGTGATTCCCGTCACCCAGGTGATTCCCGTCTCCCAGGTGATTCCCGTCACCCAGGTGATTCCCGTCACCCACGTGATTCCCGTCACCCAGGTGATTCCCGTCTCCCAGGTGATTCCCGTCACCCACGTGATTCCCGTCTCCAGGTGCCTCATATGGCCTCCTTCTTGCTCGCTCGTGCGCGTCCTGTCTCGCTGTGGCATCCCGGATGCGTCCCGCATGCGTCCCATCACGCGTTCTCCCTATGCCTCCCACGCGCGTCCCAGAGCTCGTGCTTGTCTTGTGCGATGCAGTTTCAACCTGGGTCGTCGCGGATCCTTGCACCCTCTTAAAGCGCTCCTCTTGAATTCCTCCTCTCCTCTCCCGCTCCCTGCTTCACGGTGCAGTTTCTTTCAAAGGAGGGGTTCTATAACTTCTGGAACTGGTTTGATGACCGCACTTGGTGAGTGATGGCGATGAGATGGCATGGCTAGTAATGGGAGAGGAGATGGAGATTTTATGGCTAGCTATGGGGGAGATGCCATGGCGAGTGATGGGAGATGTGCAGTTTTTTTTAACGGAGGGCTTCTATAACTTCTGGAACTGGTTTGATGACCGGACGTGGTGAGTGAGGGGGGATGAGATGGCATGGCGAGTTGTGGGGGAGGTTATGGCGAGTGGTGGGAAATGCGATGGCATGTCGAGCGAGCATTGGGAGAGATGCTATGGCAAGGGATGGATGGAATGGGACACGCTGCTGTGCTCTCCCTACTACACTCACCTGTTTCTCTCCGCCTGACACAGACCTTGTGTTGTCATATGACCCTCGTGTCCTGCTGCCGTCTGTTGGCCTCTTGGCATGTGGCACTGGCAGGTACCCTCTGGGGCGAGTCATTGGTGGGACGGTGTACCCGGGTCTCACTCTCACGGCTGGGACCATGTGGTGGTGAGTGCTGGGCGAGCTGAGGGCGTGGGTACATGGTGAGGTGAGGTGAAGGCATGAGGAGTCATTGGTGGGACGGTGTACCCGGGTCTCACTCTCACGGCTGGGACCATGTGGTGGTGAGTGCAGCGCGTGCTGGCGAGAAGGCATGGGATGCATGGTGTGTAGAGGACATGTGGGAGTCATTGGTGGGACGGTGTACCCGGGTCTCACTCTCACGGCTGGGACCATGTGGTGGTGAGTGCTGGGCGTGATGGCGAGAGGACGTGGGTGGGGTGCATGGTGAGGTCCTCAGTGGAGACCGTGTGTGTCTTCACAGCGCCAATGCTGCATTCATACATACCCCATCCCTCCCATCCCTCCCATCCCGCCCATCCCGCCCATCCCTCCCATCCCCTCCCATCCCTCCCATCATCCTTCCGTCCCCGCTTTCCGCTTTTCCTCCCTGCACCTGCTGTACTCCTCATACAGGCTCGCCAACGCCCTTAACTTCCCATTCTCAGTGGAGACCATGTATCAGAACAGTGCGCCAGTGCTGCATCCATCCATCCATTCCCCATCCCGTTCTTCCCTGCTCTGCACCTGTGCAACCTCCACCTTCGCATCCCATACAGGCTCGCCAACGCATTTAACTTCCCATTCTCAGTGGAGACCATGTATCAGAACAGTGCGCCAGTGCTGCATCCATCCATCCATTCCCCATCCCGTTCTTCCCTGCTCTGCACCTGTGCAATCCCCGCCTTCTCATCCCTGCCAGGCTCGCCAACGCGCTCAACTTCCCCTTCTCAGTGGAGACAGTGTGTGTGTTCACAGCGCCAGTGTTCCTCGTTCGCCTGCTGCTCGATCCATTCCCATCCCCCAAACAGGCTCGCCAATGCTCTCAACTTCCCCTTCTCAGTGGAGACCGTGTGTGTGTTCACGGCGCCAGTGCTAATCCTTCCGCTTTCCCCTTGTCCTTCCTGCACCTGCTGTCCCCCCAATACAGGCTCGCCAACGCGCTCAACTTCCCCTTCTCCGTGGAGACGGTGTGTGTGTTCACGGCGCCAGTGCTGCATACATACCCCATCCCTCCTACCTATCCCTCCCATTCGTCTCATCCCTCCCATCCCTGCCATTCGTCTCATCCCTTCCATCCCTCCCTGCCAGGCTCGCCAATGCTCTCAACTTCCCGTTCTCAGTGGAGACAGTGTGTGTGTTCACGGCGCCAGTGCTGCATCCATACCCCATCCCCCCCATCACTTCCATCCCTCCCTGCCAGGCTCGCCAATGCTCTCAACTTCCCGTTCTCAGTGGAGACAGTGTGTGTGTTCACGGCGCCAGTGCTGCATCCATACCCCATCCCCCCCATCACTTCCATCCCTCCCTGCCAGGCTCGCCAATGCTCTCAACTTCCCGTTCTCAGTGGAGACGGTGTGTGTGTTCACGGCGCCAGTGTTCTCAGCGTTTGCGGCGTGGGCCACCTTTCTCTTGGCCAAGGAGGTCCGGGGAACGGGGGCTGGGCTGACTGCTGCTGCACTCATCGCCATGGTGAGTGGCGCACAAAGGGGTTGACTGCTGACCCGACACAAAGTGCGAGGCATGGGGGCTGGGCTGACTGCTGCTGCGCTCATTGCCATGGTGAGTGGCTTTGATTGCTGACTGATAAGCGCATGACTGTTCTCAGCGCATGCGGCGTGGGCCACCTTCCTGCTGGCCAAGGAGGTCCGGGGCGCAGGGGCTGGTTCAACGATGCTGCACTCGTTGCTATGGTCAGTGGCGCACATGTGGCTTCAACTGCTGACTGGGGTAATGGCATGGCATAGGCCACTTTCCTGTTTGACAAGGAGGCTACGTGTCGAGGGTCTGGCATCACCGCTGCTGCGTGTATTGCTATGGTGCTGTTCCTTACCTGTGCATTTCACACGTTTCAGGTCCCATCGTACATATCTTTCTCTGTGACCGATGAGACAATTTCTGAGGCTCCGTGGCTCAAAAACCGCTCCTCGCCTGTGCATTGCAGGTGCCGTCGTACATCTCTCGGTCCGTGGCTAACGATGAGACGATTAATAAAGTTTGTTCCTCACCTCGCCTGTGCGTTTCACGCTGCAGGTGCCGTCGTACATCTCTCGCTCAGTGGCTGGCAGCTACGACAACGAGGGGGTGGCCATCTGCCAGTGCTGTTTTCGTCTTCACCGCTCTGCACTCCTCTGTGCCGCTCCCCACCTGTGCGTTTCACGTTGCAGGTGCCGTCGCACATCTCTCGCTCAGTGGCTGGCAGTTACGACAACGAGGGGGTGGCCATCTGCCAGTGCTGTTTTCGTCTTCACCGCTCTGCACTCCTCTGTGCCGCTCCCCACCTGTGCGTTTCACGTTGCAGGTGCCGTCGCACATCTCTCGGTCAGTGGCTGGCAGCTACGACAACGAGGGGGTGGCCATCCTTTATCTTGTCTTCACCGCTCTGCACTCCTCTGTACCGCTCTTCACCTGTGCGTTGCAGGTGCCGTCGTACATCTCTCGCTCCGTGGCTGGCAGCTACGACAACGAGGGAGTGGCCATCTTTGCGCTCGTCTTCACCTTCTACCTCTACATTAAGGTGGGTGGATGAGAGGTGGTGGCATTGTTGCCCCCGACTTGTGATGTATGTGTGTGTAAAATGAGTGCATGTGCCTGCGGAATGAGGAGTGGACGAGTGGGCTAGCAGCTAAGACAACGAGGGGGTGGCCATCTTTGCCCTCGTCGTCACCTTCTACCTCTACTCTACATCAAGGTTAGAGAGTGAGTGTGCGAGCGTATGGAAATGAGTGCATGCATGGGAACCAGTGTGTGATTGTGATCCAACGCGGCGGCCCATTTCTACATGGTCATGCCATGGGGCGCCTACACGTTCATCCACACCCTGACCCTTGTTCAAATTCTCCCTCCTCCTCTTGTTTGAAGAAGTGTTTTGAGACGTCTCAAAACACTTCTTCATACACGTGATCCAACGCGGCGGCCTATGTCTACATGGTCATGCCATGGGGCGCCCGGCGCTTACACGTTCATCCACACCCTGACCCTTCTTCAAATCCTCCCCCCTCCTCTTCCTGCCGCCCCCCTAACTCCCCATGCACCCCCCCTCCCCTCTTCTCTTCAGACGCTCAACACGGGGTCGCTGTTTTATGCGACGGCCTATTTCTACATGGTGATGTCGTGGGGCGGCTACACATTCATCATCAACCTCATCTCTACCCTGAGCTTCCTTGAAATCCGCTGCCTCTGTCCCTAACCCACCGTGCACTCCCTCCCTTCCCCACCTCAGACCCTCAACACAGGATCACTGTTTTATGGAACGGCCAACGCGGCGGCCTATTTCTACATGGTGATGTCGTGGGGCGGCTACACCTTCATTCCTACCCTAAATCCCTCCATCACCACACCCAACCCCACCCCAGACCCTCAACACGGGATCACTGTTCTATGCAACGGCCAACGCGGCGGCCTATTTCTACATGGTGATGTCGTGGGGCGGCTACACCTTCATTCCTACCCTAAATCCCTCCATCACCACACCCAACCCCACCCCAGACCCTCAACACGGGATCACTGTTCTATGCAACGGCCAACGCGGCGGCCTATTTCTACATGGTGATGTCGTGGGGCGGCTACACCTTCATTCCTACCCTAAATCCCTCCATCACCACACCCAACCCCACCCCAGACCCTCAACACGGGATCACTGTTCTATGCAACGGCCAACGCGGCGGCCTATTTCTACATGGTGATGTCGTGGGGCGGCTACACCTTCATTCCTACCCTAAATCCCTCCATCACCACACCCAACCCCACCCCAGACCCTCAACACAGGATCACTGTTCTATGCAACGGCCAACGCAGCGGCCTATTTCTACATGGTGATGTCGTGGGGCGGCTACACCTTCATTCCTACCCTAAATCCCTCCATCACCACACCCAACCCCACCCCAGACCCTCAACACGGGATCACTGTTCTATGCAACGGCCAACGCAGCGGCCTATTTCTACATGGTGATGTCGTGGGGCGGCTACACCTTCATTCCTACCCTAAATCCCTCCATCACCACACCCAACCCCACCCCAGACCCTCAACACGGGATCACTGTTCTATGCAACGGCCAACGCAGCGGCCTATTTCTACATGGTGATGTCGTGGGGCGGCTACACCTTCATTCCTACCCTAAATCCCTCCATCACCACACCCAACCCCACCCCAGACCCTCAACACGGGATCACTGTTCTATGCAACGGCCAACGCGGCGGCCTATTTCTACATGGTGATGTCGTGGGGCGGCTACACCTTCATTCCTACCCTAAATCCCTCCATCACCACACCCAACCCCACCCCAGACCCTCAACACGGGATCACTGTTCTATGCAACGGCCAACGCAGCGGCCTATTTCTACATGGTGATGTCGTGGGGCGGCTACACCTTCATTCCTACCCTAAATCCCTCCATCACCACACCCAACCCCACCCCAGACCCTCAACACGGGATCACTGTTCTATGCAACGGCCAACGCAGCGGCCTATTTCTACGGTGATGTCGTGGGGCGGCTACACCTTCATTCCTACCCTAAATCCCTCCATCACCACACCCAACCCCACCCCAGACCCTCAACACGGGATCACTGTTCTATGCAACGGCCAACGCGGCGGCCTATTTCTACATGGTGATGTCGTGGGGCGGCTACACCTTCATTCCTACCCTAAATCCCTCCATCACCACACCCAACCCCACCCCAGACCCTCAACACGGGATCACTGTTCTATGCAACGGCCAACGCGGCGGCCTATTTCTACATGGTGATGTCGTGGGGCGGCTACACCTTCATTCCTACCCTAAATCCCTCCATCACCACACCCAACCCCACCCCAGACCCTCAACACGGGATCACTGTTCTATGCAACGGCCAACGCGGCGGCCTATTTCTACATGGTGATGTCGTGGGGCGGCTACACCTTTATCATCAACCTCATCCCCATCCACGTGCTGCTGTGCATCGTCACCGGCCGCTTCTCCTCGCGACTCTACGTCGCTTTTGCTCCCCTGGTGAGCCTCCCATGCTTTGCCTCTTTCACAGGTCCCTCATGCTTCGCTCCCCGTGTAAGCAGGGTGTTGCATTACCCTAGTGCAATCACGGGCATGCCATTCATCAACCTCATCCCCATCCACGTGCTGCTGTGCATCGTCACCAGCCGCTTCTCCTCGTGCCACCCCTCGTTGCAGATCATTCTGGGCACGCGTTGACTTTTGAGTCGACTCAAAAGTCTCCTCGCGCCACCCCTCGTTGCAGATCATTCTGGGCACGCGTTGACTTTTGAGTCGACTCAAAAGTCTCCTCGCGCCACCCCTCGTTGCAGATCATTCTGGGCACGCGTTGACTTTTGAGTCGACTCAAAAGTCTCCTCGCGCCACCCCTCGTTGCAGATCATTCTGGGCACGCGTTGACTTTTGAGTCGACTCAAAAGTCTCCTCGCGCCACCCCTCGTTGCAGATCATTCTGGGCACGCGTTGACTTTTGAGTCGACTCAAAAGTCTCCTCGCGCCACCCCTCGTTGCAGATCATTCTGGGCACGCGGCTGGCGGTGCTCCGAGTGTACACCTCTCCCGCTAACTTCCCCCCTCTCACCTGCGTACACCTCTCTCCCCACACCACGTGCTCCCTGGCAGATCATACTCGGCACGTTGCTGGCAGCGCTGGTGCCAGTGGTGGGCTTTAACGCCGTCATGACGTCCGAGCACTTTGGAGGGTTCCTGGTGAGTGCAGTGCAGCTCAGCACCCCATTGTGTGTGGTACGGGTGTGGTCACACTTTGGAGGGTAATGACGTCTGAGCACTTTGGAGGGTAATGACGTCTGAGCACTTTGGAGGGTTCCTGGTGAGTGCAGTGCAGCTCGGCACCCCATTGTGTGTGGGTTTGAGAATTATCACATCTCAATGCTGTCACGACGTCTGAACACAGTCTGAAGGGTTCCTGGTGAGTGCGGTTCGCCTTTGCACTGACACGTCAGGAAGGACTTTGATTTGCGGTACTGCCTGGCTCAGACACGTCACTCACATGTCTCAGCCATTGGCTGGCTCAGACACGTCACTCACATGTCTCAGCCATTGGCTGGCTCAGACACGTCACTCACATGTCTCAGCCATTGGCTGGCTCAGACACGTCACTTACTCACATGTCTGAGCCTCTGGCTGGCTCAGACACGTCATGCTGCCGCAGGCGTCGCTTACATGCACTCCTCGCCTTGCCCTTTTCCTTGTTACATGTGCATGCAGTTTGCTGTGCTAAGTCCTTCCTCTCCTTGCATGCTGCTCTGCTGCTTCGGATATATGCCCGTGCTCTCAAATCTACAAATTTCTTGGCGTGGTGTTGTGTTTCTTTGAATATACACCCGTACCACTTCGGTGCAGCTGTTCGCATACCCTATTGTTGACCCCCTGTTGTTCCGCTTGCCTCTCACCGTCAGGTGTTTGTGGTGCTGCACATCGCTGCCGTCAGCTACTACATCAAGGCATTGCTCCTGCTGTCTTTCCACCGCCTCTGCCCACCCACCTCTTCCCATACCTCTCGCCCATGTGCCACCTTCAGGTGTTTGTGGTGCTGCACATCGCTGCCGTCAGCTACTACATCAAGGCATTGCTCCTGCTGTCTTTCCACCGCCTCTGCCCACCCACCTCTTCCCATACCTCTCGCCCATGTGCCACCTTCAGGTGTTTGTGGTGCTGCACATCGCTGCCCTCAGCCACGACGTCAAGGCATTGCTCCTGCTGTCTTTCCACCGCCTCTGCCCACCCACCTCTTCCCATACCTCTCGCCCATGTGCCACCTTCAGGTGTTTGTGGTGCTGCACATCGCTGCCCTCAGCCACGACGTCAAGGCATTTCTGCTGCCACTGCTGTTCCTATTCACTGTTGTTGCCCCCCTTTCCCTCACGCCAACCTGCCTCTTCCGTCACGCCAACCTGCCTCTTCCCTCTCTCCCCCGCAGGTGTTTGTGGTGCGGCACATCGCTGCGCTCAGCTACTACATCAAGGCGCTGCTGCTATCTCTCGTCCGTATCTGCTCGTCTCTCCCTACACACCCTTGTGCTTCTCCCTCTGCCCCTCAGGTGTTTGTGGTGCTGCACATCGCTGCCCTCAGCTACTACATCAAGGCTCTCCTGCTGCTGTCTATGTGTTCATCTTCCCATGCCCTTCTGCTGATTCCCCCATGCCAACCTGCCACTTCTCTCTCCCCCGCAGGTGTTTGTGGTGCTGCACATCGCGGCCCTCAGCTACTACATCAAGGCGCTCCTGCCCGCCAAGGCCTTCCGCATTGCTCTCACTCTCATCGTCTCAGTCGGCACGTACGTCCCCCTCGCAATCCCCCCTCACTCACTCGTTCGCCTCACTCATTCACTCACTCACTCACTCACTCACCCTTATCGTCTCGGTCGGCGCGTACGTTTCTCTCCCACACTCTGTCGCTCTCTCATGGTCTCATTCGCTCACACCCTCTCCTTCTCTCCTTCACTCACGCGTATTTAGTTTTCCATGGTTACAGAGAGAGACCACCTCACAGCACTGCAATGCCATCAAGATGTCTGCTCACTTTCCTGATTCTCCACCACCCTCCCTCTCTTCCTCTGTTCCTTGCTTCTTTCAGAGTGGCGGCAGTGGCGCTGCTCTCTGCTCTCGTTGCCATGGTGCTCGCCAGCCCCACGCTGGGCTGGACTGGTCGCTCCCTCAGCCTTCTGGACCCGTGAGTGCTGCTTGCTTGTTGGTTTGACTTTGCCTTGCATGATGACTTTCTTGGAGGCCCAACCCCACATTCCCACTCTATATCCCGTTTCTTTTCTCTCTCTCCCCCACACCACGTATGCATTCAAATACATCCCCATCATTGCCACTGTGAGCGAGCAGCAGGGATTCAAGACATCTGCCAATCCGCCCTCTACGCCTCCCATTGCGCCCCACCCTCTTCCCCTTCCCTTCCCTCACCTCTGGCATTGTACCCCCTACACCTCCCATTGCGCCCCTCCCTCCCTTCCTCCCCACAGCACATACGCGTCCAAGTACATCCCCATCATCGCGAGTGTCAGCGAGCACCAGCCGCCCATGTGGACGTCCTACTTCATGGACCTGCAGCTTCTCGCCTTCCTCGCTCCTGCTGGCCTCATTGTAAGCACCCTTTTATAAGCACACGTGTTTGTCAGCACATTGTCACCACCCAACACTTGTGACGCCTACCACCAGCCGCTCACAGCGAGCACCAGCCGCCCATGTGGACGTCCTACTTCATGGACCTGCAGCTGCCCGCCTTCCTCGCTCCTGCTGGGCTCATTGTAAGCACCCGTGCTCATAAGCACACACACACGTTGGTTGGTAAGCACATTGTCAGCACATTCACCTGTCCAACCAGCTCTGGCCTGGTACAAACAACCTACCACAAGCTTCATGGGCCTACAGCTGCTGGCCTTCCTGGCCCCCGCTGGCCTCATTGTAAGCACACACGATCATAAGCACACTGTAAGCACAGTCGGTCAGCACACGATTCTAGCACAGGACACTCTACTTGTCAGCACCAGCTCCTCACTCGCAGCGAGCACCAGCCGCCCATGTGGACGCCCATGTGCCGCTGGCGCAATGAGGACAGGCCAGCGGGCGCAAGGAATGCGAGCAGCTGGCCTCATTGTGAGAACAACAATGAGCGGCTGGTCCTCATTGTGGTCCTCATGGGCGGCTGGTGCTCGCTGGCACAATGAGCACCTGCAGCTGCTCGCCTTCCTTGCGCCCGCTGGCCTCATTGTGAGAACAACAGGACGGTTAATGTAAGCCCACATGCGTATAAGCACAGTTAATCACTCTCCAACTCCATTGCTCGTCTTCCTCGTCTTCATCGCCTTCCTCGCCTGCCGATTAAAGACACCAGCCATCACGATTCTCCAGTGGGGCTCACGAAGCTGCCATAGCTGTTCCTTCGTTTTCAACCAACCCTCAAGTGTGAACGTCTCTCTCCCTCCCTCACTCAAACCTCCTGCGCTGCGTCGCCTCTTGGTCCTGCAGGCGTGCTTCCTGCCGCTCACAGACGCGAGCTCCTTTGTGGCCCTCTACCTCGTTGTCTCTGTGTACAGCCTGATAACCTATTCCTAACCCCTGAACCCAAACCCCCTCCTTGCTGCAGGCGTGCTTCCTGCCGCTCACAGACGCGAGCTCCTTTGTGGCCCTCTACCTCGTTGTCTCTGTGTACAGCCTGATAACCTATTCCTAACCCCTGAACCCAAACCCCCTCCTTGCTGCAGGCGTGCTTCCTGCCGCTCACAGACGCGAGCTCCTTTGTGGCCCTCTACCTCGTTGTCTCTGTGTACAGCCTGATAACCTATTCCTAACCCCTGAACCCAAACCCCCTCCTTGCTGCAGGCGTGCTTCCTGCCGCTCACAGACGCGAGCTCCTTTGTGGCCCTCTACCTCGTTGTCTCTGTGTACAGCCTGATAACCTATTCCTAACCCCTGAACCCAAACCCCCTCCTTGCTGCAGGCGTGCTTCCTGCCGCTCACAGACGCGAGCTCCTTTGTGGCCCTCTACCTCGTTGTCTCTGTGTACAGCCTGATAACCTATTCCTAACCCCTGAACCCAAACCCCCTCCTTGCTGCAGGCGTGCTTCCTGCCGCTCACAGACGCGAGCTCCTTTGTGGCCCTCTACCTCGTTGTCTCTGTGTACTTCTCTGGAGTCATGGTGAGTCAAGTCAAGGGGGTCAATGGTGAGTCAGTGGTGAGTCAAGGGGGTCAATGCAACATCTCTACCTCCTCCTCCTCTCTGTGTACTTCTCTGGAGTCGTGGTGTATCAATAGGTTCAATGGTAGGTCAATGGGGTCAATGGTAGGTCAATGGGGTCAATGGTAGGTCAATGGGGTCAATGGTAGGTCAATGGGGTCAATGGTAGGTCAATGGGGTCAATGGTAGGTCAATGGGGTCAATGCAACATCTCTACCGTGTCGTATCCTTGTACTTCTCTGGAGTCATGGTGAGTCGATTGGGTCAACGGTGAGGTGAGTAAAGGGAGTCAATGGTATGGGAGTCAATGGAGTCAATGCAACGTCTGTACCTCGCCGTCTCTGTGTACTTCTCCGGAGTCATGGTGAGTCAATGGAGTCAAAGGTGAGTCACTGGAGTCATGGTGAGTCAATGGAGTCAAAGGTGAGTCGCTGGAGTCATGGTGAGTCAATGGAGTCAAAGGTGAGTCACTGGAGTCATGGTGAGTCAATGGAGTCAAAGGTGAGTCACTGGAGTCATGGTGAGTCAATGGAGTCAAAGGTGAGTCGCTGGAGTCAACAGTTACTCATGTTGAGTTCATGGAATCAAGGTGGGGCGATGGAATCTGGAGGGTTAGTTGTGAATCAACGGAGTATCCATCACAGCAGGCAGGCATGCAATCAGTACTCACTTCGATTCGAGATCTTCACTGCCTCTCTCGATTCGAGATCTTCACTGCCTCTCTCGATTCGAGATCTTCACTGCCTCTCTCGCTTAACCTCTTAATCCACCAGGTTTTGTTTCTCCCCTTTCTTTCAGGTGCGTCTGATGCTGGTGCTGGCGCCAGCAGCGTGCATCACAGCGGGCATCGCAGTGAGCGCTCTGTTTGACGTCCTCACTCGCTCCGTCAAGGCCTCTATTGCTGAGCTCATCGACCTGGCGTATGCTGCTGCCAAGCAGGACAAGGGAGAGAAGGAGGAGACGACTGATGGTGCTGGTGCTGAGGTGAGAGAGCAACGAGGACGTGAGGCGTATCCTGTGAGTGAGTGAGAAATGGCCGGGTGAGCTGCTCTCTCCGTCAAGGCCTCTATTGCTGAGCTCATCGACCTGGCGTACGCTGCTGCCAAGCAGGACAAGGGAGAGAAGGAGGAGACGACTGATGGTGCTGGTGCTGAGGTGAGAGAGCAACGAGGACGTGAGGCGTATCCTGTGAGTGAGTGAGAAATGGCCGGGTGAGCTGCTCTCTCCGTCAAGGCCTCTATTGCTGAGCTCATCGACCTGGCGTACGCTGCTGCCAAGCAGGACAAGGGCGAGAAAGAGGAGACAACTGATGGTGCTGCCGCTGAGGTGAGAGGGAGAGAGAGGGAGAGGGAGGGACAGGTGAGGTGCTCCGTCAAGGCCTCTATTGCTGAGCTCATCGACCTCGCGTACGCTGCTGCCAAGCAGGACAAGGGAGAGCCAGGCAAAGGAGCGCAAGGCAGCAGCGGGGGCGAGGAAGAAGAAGGGCTAGGAGGGTGAGGGAAGGTAGTCACTGATGACCCCATTGACTCTGTTGACACTATGAACCCCTACTGCCATTGCCACAGGCTGCCAGCAAGACTGGCGAGGCGGCAAGCCAGGCCAAGGAGCGCAAGGCAGCAGCAGGGGCGAGGAAGAAGAAGGGCAAGGAGGGCGAGGGGGAGGGGGGAGTGTTAGTATGACCTCATTGAAACTGTTGACCTCTTTGACCTTATGAACCCCTGTTTCCACCACTGCAGGCTTCCAGCAAGTCGATTTTTGAGTCGACTCAAAAATCGACTCTTTGACCTTATGAACCCCTGTTTCCACCACTGCAGGCTTTCAGCAAGTCGATTTTTGAGTCGACTCAAAAATCGACTCTTTGACCTTATGAACCCCTGTTTCCACCACTGCAGGCTTTCAGCAAGTCGATTTTTGAGTCGACTCAAAAATCGACTCTTTGACCTTATGAACCCCTGTTTCCACCACTGCAGGCTTCCAGCAAGGCTGGTGAGGCAAGCCAGGCAAAGGAGCGCAAGGCAGCAGCGGGGAAGAAGAAGAAGGGCAGGGAGGAAGAAGAGGGGCAAGCAGCAGGATCGACCCCATTGACCCAATGAGCCTTATCCACCCTTTTGCCACTGCCACAGGCCTCGAGCAAGACTGGCGAAGCAAGCCAGGCAAAGGAGCGCAAGGCGGGAGGGGCGAAGAAGAAGAAGGGCAGGGAGGGCGAGGGGGAGGGGGGGGAGTCTGACGAGGAGCCTGCAGGGGGGGCTGCGGGCGCTGCGGGGAAGAAGGGGGTGAAGGGGAAGGGGAGGGGGAAGGGGGGGAAGGAGGGGGGAAAGGAGAAGGAGAAGGCGAAGGGGAAGTTTCCGCTGGTGGTGCCGGGGGATGCGGCTGCGGTGGGCATTATTCTCATGCTCGTGGGGCTCGCCTTCTACACGGTGAGTTCAGTTTCAACAGTGGGCTTGTATTTCACATAGTGGGGAAGGGGAAATTTCCGTTGGCGATGCGGCAGCGGTGGGCATCATTCTCATGCTCGTGGGGCTCGCCTTCTACACGGTGAGTGCTGTGCTGGTTTAGATCAAGTGATTTGTTTGCCTCCCTCCCACACTGTTATGAGTCGTCTTAGAAGGCGATGCTGCAGCGGTGGGCATCATTCTCATGCTCGTGGGGCTCGCCTTCTACACGGTGAGTGCTGTGCTGGTTTAGATCAAGGTGATTTGCTTGCCTCCCTCCCACACTGTTATGAGTCGTCTTAGAAGGCGATGCGGCAGCGGTGGGCATCATTCTCATGCTCGTGGGGCTCGCCTTCTACACGGTGAGTTGAGAGGTGTTTCAGATTCAGAATTGGGCTTGTGTTTTACACAGTGGGGGAGGGGAAGTCCCCTCGGGTGGTTTTGAGGCGCCTCAAAAGTCGTCTCTTATCCCGCAATTTTGAGGCGCCTCAGAGGCTCAGAAGGGGAAGTCCCCTCGGGTGGTGCCGGGCGGTGCTGCAGCAGTGGGGCTCGCCTTCTACACGGTGAGTTGAGAGATGTTTCAAACTCGACAGTCGTGCTGTTGGGAACTCGCCAGTCGTGCTCTCCTCTCCCACAACGGCAACAGCAACCCCATAGGATAGGTGTTCACCCATCGCTTCCTGTATTCCACTCTGCCTCCCTCCTTCCCCCTCCCCCCCCTCCCATCCCCTAGATGCACTGTGTGTGGGCCGCAGCAGACGCGTACTCAGCGCATCCATCGTGCTCTCCTCTCCCTCCATGCAAATGTCAAGCCATAGGTGTTCACCCTCCCCTCCCCTGGTCTTCCTCTCTGCCTCTCTCCCGCACATTTCACAGATGCACGGTGTGTGGGCGGCAGCAGACGCCTACTCAGCCCCGTCAATCGTGCTCTCCTCTCCCACCAGCAAATGTCAAGCCATAGATGTTCACCCTCCCCTCCCCTGGTCTTCCTCTCTGCCTCTCTCCTGCACATTTCACAGATGCACTGTGTGTGGGCGGCAGCAGACGCCTACTCAGCCCCGTCAATCGTGCTCTCCTCTCCCACCAGCAAATGTCAAGCCATAGGTGTTCACCCCTATGTCCCCTGGTCTTCCTCTCTGCCTCTCTCCCGCACATTTCACAGATGCACTGTGTGTGGGCGGCAGCAGACGCCTACTCAGCGCCATCCATCGTGCTCTCCTCGCCCACCCAAGACGGCGGGCAGTACATCTTTGATGACTTCCGTGAGGCGTATGGGTGGCTGCGCCACAACACCGACGAGAATGACAAGGTGGGTCCCTCCCACCAACATGTGTTGTGTGTGTGCATACCATCTTCAGCACTGCTCCCAGCGAGTGACAGCACTGGCCACAGTGACAGCACTGCCCACACTGACAGCACTGCTCCCAACGAGTGACAGCACTGGCCACACTGACAGCACTGCTCCCAACGAGTGACAGCACTGGCCACACTGACAGCACTGCCCACACTGGCACCAACGACGGAGGGCAGTACATCTTTGATGACTTCCGTGAGGCGTATGGGTGGCTGCGCCACAACACCGACGAGAATGACAAGGTGGTTCCTGATAGCACTGACAGCACTGCCCCCATGACACCAATGACGGCGGGCAGTTCATCTTTCATGACTTCCGTGTGGCGTACGGGGTTGCAACACAACACATATGAGAATGACAAGGTGGGTTACATCCCTGCACCACCTCTTTCCCCACACACCCTCCTTTCCCACATGCCCTCCAAATCTCTCGCATTCCATGCCCGTACATACCCCATAAGATGACGTCATGGTGGGACTATGGGTATCAGACCACGGCAATGGCAAACCGCACAGTCATTGTGGATAACAACACGTGGAACAACACACACATTGCCACTGTTCACCTTCCCTTCCCCTCCCTTCCCCGCATGCGCCCCTCATGGCATATTCACCCCCACCAGGTGGCATCGTGGTGGGACTATGGGTATCAGACCACGGCCATGGCCAACCGCACAGTGATAGTGGATAACAACACGTGGAACAACACTCACATTGACACACGCCCTCGCTTCCCCTCATGTGACACTCCCCCCTACCACCAGGTGGCATCGTGGTGGGACTATGGGTACCAGACAACCGCAATGGCAAACCGCACGGTGATAGTTGACAACAACACGTGGAACAAAACTCACATCCCTGCACGCCCTCCCTCTCCTCCCTTGCATATTCACCCCCACCAGGTGGCATCGTGGTGGGATTACGGGTACCAGACGACCGCTATGGCGAACCGCACAGTCATTGTCGATAACAACACGTGGAACAACACACACATCGCCACAGTTGGCATGGCCATGTCTTCACGGGAGAAGGATGCGTGGGCCATCTACCGCTCCATCGATGTCAAATACGTCTTTGTGGTGTTCGGAGGTGGGTTGGCAGTGGCATATGCATATGTCAAAGACATATAGGGCATGTTGGTTGGTTGAGAGGCCTGCCTTGTGGTGTTGGAAGGGGGCGTCTTAGCATGTGGATGGAACAACACGCACATCGCCACGGTGGGCATGGCCATGTCTTCTAGGGAGAAGGATGCGTGGGCGATTTACCGCTCCATCGATGTCAAATACGTCTTCGTGGTGTTCGGAGGTGGGTTGGGAATGGCATACGCAGATGACTAAGACATATAGGGCATGTTGGTTGGTTGAGAGGTCTGCCTTGTGGTGTTGGAAGGGGGGTCTTAGCATGTGGATGGAACAACACTCACATCGCCACTGTGGGCATGGCCATGTCTTCTAGGGAGAAGGACGCGTGGGCGATTTACCGCTCCATCGATGTCAAATACGTCTTCGTGGTGTTCGGAGGTGGGTTGGGAATGGCATACGCATATGTGTAAGACATATCGGGCATGCTGGTTGGTTGAGAGGCCTGTCTTGTGGTGTTGGAAGGGGGGTCTTAGCATGTGGATGGAACAACACGCACATCGCCACAGTGGGCATGGCCATGTCATCGAGGGAGAAGGACGCGTGGGCCATCTACCGCTCCATCGACGTGAAATACGTGTTCGTGGTGTTCGGAGGTATGCTGGAAATGGCATACGCACACATCAAAGTTTAAACACTTGGAACACCACACACATTGCCACGGTGGGCAATGGCATACGCATATGTCAAAGACATATAGGGCATGTTGGAACAACACGCACATCGCCACGGTGGGCATGGCCATATCGCCGCAGGAGAAGGACGCGTGGGCCATGCACGCACCCCTATGCCTGTGCTTTTTCCAATCTTTCTTCACTCCTTCCAGGCATGCGCTACCCCAGCGACAACATCAACAGGCTCCTATGGATGTTGATCGGAGCCTGGTCAACAGCCTGTTGATCGGAGAATGGGGAGAATGGGGGGAATGGGGCAGCTAGATAACGATCTCCGATTCCCCCCATTCTCCCCCCATACCATCCTTCCCATTCTCCACTCTACCCCACAGGCATGGTGGGCTATCCCAGCGATGACATCAACAAGTTCCTCTGCATGGTGATTGCAACACCGGGACCTCCCCCCTCCTGGGCTAATGCCGCTTTTTCACCTGGGTCCTTCCTGCCGCTCCCCCCTCTGCTCTTCCCCTCCCCCTATCCAACAGGCATGGTGGGCTACCCCAGCGACGACATCAACAAGTTCCTCTGGATGGTGCGGATCGGAGGCGGTGTGTTTCCGCGGATCAGGGAGCCCGACTACCTGGTGAGTGCAGAGGGAGATGGCTTTTGAGAGTCTTGAACGTGGTTACATGTTACATGAATGGGGATGGTGCGGATTGGAGGCGGTGTGGTGTGTTTCCTCGGATCAAGGAGCCCGACTACCTGGTGAGTTCATAAGGAGATGGCTTTTGAGAATCTGGAACGTGGTTACATGTTACATGGATGGGGATGGTGCGCATCGGAGGTGGTGTATTTCCGCGGATCAGGGAGCCCGACTACCTGGTGAGTGCATGGGGATGGTGATTGAGAAGCTTAGATGTGACTACAAGTCAATTGGTTTGAAATGGAGGCGGCGTGTTTCCGCGGATCAAGGCGCCCAACTACCTGGTGAGTGCATAGGGAGATTGCTTTTGAGAGTCTTGAACGTGGTTACATGTTACATGGATGGGGATGGTGCGGATCAGAGGTGGTGTATTTCCGCGGATCAGGGAGCCCGACTACCTGGTGAGTGCATGGGGATGGTGCGGATCGGAGGTGGCCGCCTTTTACCCGCCCAAGCTCTCCCCGCCTCTTACCTCCCTTCCCACTTCCCAGGCCAGCAGAACGGTCGGAGTGTGTGCGGAAGTTACCGGCACCATGCTTTTGAAGCACATACAAAACCCCATCGTCCTCCCCATCCCCCTTCCCCCCCCTCCCCTCCCCTGCCCTCCCCCTTGCTCCCCTTGGCCAGAACAACGGCAACTACCGGGTGGATGGAGAGGCCACCAGCACCATGCTCAACTGCCTCATGTACAAGCTCTCCTACTACAGGTCAGATACGTACTCGATATAAGCTCACCTGCTTGTAGCTCTGCTCAACTGCCTCATGTACAAGCTCTCCTAAGTGTGGAATGTACCGGATGTAGCTCGTGTGTACAAGCTCTTCTCAACTGCTCACCTGTAGGTCTGCGCAACTTCCTCATGTATAAGCTCTCCTGCCACAATACAAGGTGTACTCGATATAAGCTCGCTTACTTGTACAAGCTCTCCTCAACTGCTCACTCTAGCTCTGCTCACTCCAGCTCTACTCACTTCGTATATGTGCCTGGGTGTGTTTTCTCCTCCGTGCTCGGTGCTGACAGGTTTGCGGAGGTGGACGGCGGGAGGGGCTTTGACCGAGTGAGGCGCACGGAGATAGGCAAGAAGAACATCAAGCTCACGCACTTTGAGGAGGTGAGTTTATATATACATATATATATATATTTATATATATATATATTGGGATTTGGAGTATTAGATACGCATGCCAATGATGTGCTTAGCTGCTCAGCCTTTGCACCTCAAAAGGCTTACGGAGAAGGCAAGAGCAAGAACATCAATTTGACGCACTTTGAGGCGGTCAGAGCAGAGGCCGCAGGTTTGTGTGGAGTTGTAGACTCTCTCAACATGTGCAGAAACTGCTAGGCTGCTGCTCCTTTAAATGGTCAAGTGATGAAACTAAGGCAGGAAGAAACTGGGTGCATGACGTTTCGTGTAGTTCTTACAACGGCACTTTGTTGTCGTTCCCCAAACCACATTTGCATCTGTCTGATACTTAGAAACTTCAATGTCAAAAGTATGGGCTGTTTGGTTATCAAATCAACCCTGTTATTTCATTTCAGGTGTTCACTTCGCAGCACTGGATGGTCCGCATTTATCGCCTCAAGGAGCCCAGAAATCGGCCTCGAGGGGCTGGCAAGAGGCTCACACGCGTCTCCGTAAGTAGCTCAATTTGCTTTGCTGCAATAAATTTTTTTGAGATGGTTCCATCTGTTTATATCTTGTGACTATTTGCATTTGGTCTGCCCGATTCAATCCACTTGTTTTATCAGGCCAACAAGGCGAGGGGTCGCTACTAAGGTGTAGCATAAGCAATCGGTTTGCTTCATAGAGTACATTGGGTAGTGCTTGAAAAGCAATCTCTATGGCACGCAATTGTGTTGTGCATGAAGCTTGCTTCTGCGAAAGATTGTACGCATAATGGATGACTTATTTTGTTGACAGAAAAACGTGTAATGTGGTCTTGTATGAGAGGATGTAGGTTTATCAAAAAAATAAGTACACTGCCCTCGTTGCATGTCAGAAGTGTGTGATTGTTTCGGAAATGCCGCAAAAATACGGGCCCAGTCAAACCGTAAACCAATCACGTACGAAGAGCTGCCCCTGCTTTTGAGACTCCCTGCTTAGCTGTAATGTATTCTCAAGGTCTATTCACCAATCACTGGAACTGCTGCCACCGCTGTCCCACGTGGTTCCCAAAGAACCCGATTTGACCATAAATTGTTCCGGCCCTTCCAGCAATCAAAACTTGCCAAGTGGCGTGGCGACAATATTACTGCAGCTTGCTTGGCGAGAAGCTCTATCCAGCGATTGTTTCCTATAGCGGGTGCAGAAAAACCAGCACACCGCAACGGTCCGGTCTGGCTTCATCAAGCCAAATACTCCCAAGATTCATCAGAGCACCAGGTCCTCTTGGCTCTCTGCTTGTTTTGATTACTGTCAGGCATTCGGCATTCAGAGAGAGCCTGACAGCGGGGTGCAAACCCGGATCACTGCGCGTGTTGTGTTCGCTAGTCGACTTCCGGTTCAGCTGACACCCATGGCGTTTTCGCGAAGTCTGTTTCGCGCGGCAAACGCCGTGAAGAGGGTGGGTATTCGCGATGTTATAATAAAATTTCCTGATTTGGTGCAGAACATCAAATGATTCGGCCAATCATTTGCTTACAATGTCAGCTGTCTGTTTAATCTTCATCCTTTCCGTGCGATTCCGTGTGATATTGAAATCTATCCTGATGTCAGAGCCAGAAGGATGGGAGTTTCTCGCGGCTGTTCAATCAGGCATTTCGACCATTGACCACTGTAAGCGACACGAAATAACAGATGAGATTCCAGACGAACTTGAGAAAAGGCTGAATGTGTGAAAGATATGTCTCGGTCCACGGGTTGGCGTGATGGCTTTCATGCCTGAACCTTTCCATGCCTTATCCTTACCATGCCTGATAATCATCACCGAATCCCTTCCGAAAGTAATCATTTCATTGCCTGATCCTTCCATGCCTGATCCATACCATGCCGGATCCCTGCCTTAGTCTTAGAGTAAGCCGTTCCCCTCTCCACTACACGTCTGGCGCTCAGATCAATGCTGCTCGCGGGCAGATTCAGGTTAATCTCTGAGAAGCTTGGCGTTCTCTCATCCTTGCCGTTCCGTTCCATCTTTCTGTTCCATCCGCGTTCGTCCGCCGTTGGTCTTTCAGGAGCTGCACGCGAAGCTGCAGGAGGTGGTGCCGCAGCAGCAGGAGCGCATTCGGCAGATCAAGTCGCACTACGGCAATCTGTCCATGGGCAAGGTCACCGTCAACATGGTGAGGCTCCCTTGAGACGATCGTAAGGTCATTCGCATTCACCACATCACCGTCACATCCCATCCCATTAAATTGCACTACGGCAGCCTGTCCATGGGCAAGGTCACTGTCAACATGGTGAGCCGCGCTCTCTCTCCTCCCTCTCTATCTCGCTCTCGTCTTTGTATTACCGCTTTGAGTCAATTCATTTGTCGCATTTATCTCCTGACTACACTTGCTACGAGCGAGACTGCGCTCAACCCTTGTGGCTACACACACGTGGTCGCATTGCTCATCTTCTTTTCGCGCTTCCCTTCTTTTCCTGGTGATTTGTGTGAGCAGGCGATCGGAGGAATGCGAGGGGTGAAGGGGTTGGTGTGGGAGACTTCGCAGCTCGACCCCGAGCAGGTGTGTACCAAGTTCATAAATTGCTTGCAGCGGTGAGTTGTGAGTCGAGTCAAAGGACGACTCGACTCCAAACGGGTGCATAACAGCTGCACTGCACGCAATGAGTGCCTCTCCGAGAATGAACAGTTCGCTTTGATTGCTCAAACCAATCTGTAACAGGGGAGGTTGTATCTGCCGTCTGGGCTGTGTGTGCCCCGGGGGAGACATTTTCTCAACTTTTCTTTCCCATTCCCCCTTCACTTTCCCCCTTTGCCCTCATCTTCCCCCGTCATGCTCCCCGTTCCCCTTTCGGCCACCCCGGCCCCCTTCCCCTTTCCCCTTCTCCCTCCCTTCCCCCCTCCCCCTACTCTCCCTCCCGTTTACGCCCCTTCCCCGCGCCCATCTTCTGCCTCCCCTCTTCCTCTCTTCCCCAGGGCATCAAGTTCCGCGGGTACAGCATCCCCGAGTGCCAGCACCTGCTGCCCAAGGCCGTGATAGATGGCGAGCCCATGCCCGAGGGGCTGCTCTGGCTGCTCCTGACGGGCGAGGTACGCTTCTCGCACACATAGACGACTGTAGCATATCACACACGCGTACGCAGGTTCTCGCTTATCTCCCAGTGCCAGCACCTGCTGCCCAAGGCCGTGGTAGATGGCGAGCCCATGCCCGAGGGGCTGCTCTGGCTGCTGCTCACCGGCGAGGTACGCTGCTCCCGCTCGCACAAGCACACACACACACACGCCCGAGCACACGCACGCACGCCCGAGCACACGCACGCACTCACTCCCTCACTTGAAAACGCTCTCAGCGCTCCAGATTCTACACCCGCTTCCCGTCCGCTGTGTGCCCTGTCAACTCCTCGCCCCCAATACAGGTGCCCACCAGGGAGCAGGCGGCCACAGTGACGCACGAGCTGCACGAGCGAGCCAAGATGCCTGGTATGTTGTGCAGGGGGCGTGGGTATCAAGTTGCCTGGTATGCCTGGCAGGGGGTGTGGTTATCAAGTTTCCTGGTACGTCTCGTATGGGTTGTGGGTGTTTGAAAGATCCCTGATTCGTGTGGAGGGAGTGTGGAAGAATGTTGAATTAGACTCTTATCATCCCTCCTTCCCTCTCTCCTCCCACCTCCCTTGAACACCCCCAACCATCAGAGTACGTGCACACGGTGCTGAACGCCCTGCCCCGGGACATGCACCCCATGACGCAGCTGTCCATCGGCGTCATGCCTCTTCTCACCCCAACTAGACCCTTTCCTCTGTATTCCCCTTACACCCAACCACCAGAGTACGTGCACACGGTGCTGAACGCCCTCCCCAAGGACATGTACCCCATGACGCAGCTGTCCATTGGCGTCATGGCTCTTCTACCATAACCCTGCCCTTCCCTCTGTACTCCCCTAACCCCCACCTCCAGAGTACGTGCACGCGGTACTCAACGCCCTGCCCAGGGACATGCACCCCATGACGCAGCTGTCCATCAACGTCATGCCTCTTCTCACATAGCCCCTCCCCTCTTTCCCCTTCCATTCCACCACCTCTCCCATCAGAGTACGTGCACACGGTGCTGAACGCCCTCCCCAGGGACATGCACCCCATGACGCAGCTGTCTATTGGAGTGATGGCGCTGCAGAAGGGCAGCCGCTTCGCCCGCGCGTACCACGAGGGCATGCCCAAGAGCAAGTACTGGCACCTGGCTTACGAGGATGCTCTGGATCTGATTGCGACCCTTCCCCAGGTCCGTGGTTTGGTGACTGATTGACTGAGTGAGTGCCCTATGCCAGGTAAGTACCACGAGGGCATGCCCAAGAGCAAGTACTGGCACCTGGCGTACGAGGATGCGGTGGACTTGATTGCCACGCTCCCTCAGGTGAGTTGGAGGCATGCAATCGAGTGACAGAGTGAGTGCCCTATACAAGCCATGTACCACGAGGGCATGCCCAAGAGCAAGTACTGGCACCTGGCTTACGAGGATGCGCTTGACCTCATTGCTACTCTGCCCCAGGTCAGTGCCAAGATTACCATCGGTTCAGCCCAATATGGCTTCACACCACTGAGCGTACCACGAGGGCATGCCCAAGAGCAAGTACTGGCACCTGGCTTACGAGGATGCCTTGGATCTCATTGCGACCCTGCCCCAGGTCAGTTCCTTGTGTTCCAAGGTGATTCTTGAGTGCTGTGATTTAGCATGTACCACGAGGGCATGCCCAAGAGCATGGCACCTTGCTTATGAAGACGCACCTCATTGCGACCCTGCCCCAGGTCAGTCGGTAGGTTTTTGAATGGCCGAGTGAGTGTTCTATACCAGCCAAGTACCGCAAGGGCATGTCTCACCACGTGGCAGCGCACATTCACCAGACACATTTAAGGTCGGCAGGATCCTTCTGCGCATGAGTTCCCTACATGTGATGTGACCATGTCTCTCCTTCACCCCACCAGTTAGCAGCACACATCTACAGGCACACGTTCAAAAACGGCAAGATCCGTTTGTGCATGAGTTTCCTGCATGCGATGTGACCGTGTCCCCCCTTTCACGCCAATCGTCCCACCAGGTGGCGGCGCACATCTACCGGCACACGTTCAAGGACGGCAAGATCATCCCGCCCAACGAGAAGGTCGACTTGACTATGTCGCCAACCCCTCCCATTCACTTCACCCCATTGCATTGCGACCTCCCCAACCCCGAAACCCTTAATCCCACCAGGTGGCAGCGCACATCTACCGGCACACGTTCAAGGACGGCAAGATCATCCCACTCAGCGTGTTGCTTCTTAGCACACTGTAATGCTTCTCCTCCCTCCCCGTGTACCCCAACCCAAACCCCACCAGGTAGCAGCGCACATCTACCGGCACACGTTCAAGGACGGCAAGATCATTCCACCCAATGAGAAGCTCGACTACGCCGCCAACTTTGCGCACATGCTGGGCTTTAACGACCCGCAGTTCCACGACCTCATGCGCCTCTACCTCACCATCCACGCGTGAGCCCCTCAACCGTAGGCCCTTGGCTTTCGGGTCAAGGTTTATTGTTTCGGGTTTAGATTTCTGGTTCAGTTAATCCATGCTGGGCTTTAACGACCCCCAGTTTCACGACCTCATGCGCCTCTACTTCACCATCCACGCGTGGGTTGAGACAGTGTTCTAGGTTCGGGTAGTGTCCTGAGGCATTGAACACATGCTGGGCTTTATCGACCCCCAGTTCCACGACCTCATGCGCCTCTACCTCACCATCCACGCGTGAGTCCTTGCCCTATTCTGAACCCTGAACCTTCACCTGCCAGTCTCCTTGCTCTGCGTCCTCCTTGTCGTGGCATCCCATGCGTGTGTAATCAACTGTTTGTGCTCCTTCTTCTGTGTGTCTCTGTGTCCGTGTGTGTATGTGTGCCGGTGTGTGCATGTATGTCCGTGTGTGCATGCATGCATGTGTGTGTGTGTGTCTCACGGCAAGCAGGGATCACGAGGGAGGCAATGTCAGTGCCCACGCCACTCACCTGGTGAGACCAACTGTCATTTCCATTTCCACTGTCGTGCCCACTCGCCCACTCGACCCCCTATCCCGACTCGCTCCTTTCCTCCCACTTGCCCTCTCTCCCCACTCGCCCCGCCATCCCATCCCCACCCCTGCTGTCTCGCGTCCCCATCCCATCCCGTGAATCATCATTCTGCCCGACCTCGGGAAACATATGACCCCACCTCTCTCTTCCTCCCCCCAGCTCTTTCCCCCTCATCCCAACTTTCGCCTCCTCACATTTCTCCCGCTCATTCCAACTGTCTACTCCTCATCCTTCTTTTGTCGCTCCAACTCTATCCGCATTTTGTTTCCCCCTCACCCTTGTCTCTCTCTCCCTCTCCTCTCCTCACTGCCCTCCCATCCCCACCAGGTGGGCAGCGCCCTGTCAGACCCCTACCTCTCCTTCGCTGCTGGCCTCAACGGTCTTGCGGGTCCTCTGCACGGCCTCGCCAATCAGGCAAGTCACCAGTGCTCTTCCAACCGCCCTTCTCATCAATGCATCGATTCAGTGCGGTTTGAAACGGTTCAGTGCAAATAGAAGTGCCTAGTTGCTTGCAGCAGCATTTGGATTGCAGATCTTGCTCACCTACCTCCCACTCTCTTCTCATCCCCTCCGTCCCCTGCTTCTCTTCCATTCTGCCTCCACCTCAACTTCACCCTCTGCCTCCCAACCTTCCCCACATTACAGGAGGTGCTGCGCTGGCTGGAAGAAGTCAAAGCGGACGTGGGGCAGGAGGCGGGCAAGGACGATCTGAGGGACTTTGTGTGGCGCACGCTGCAGAAAAGACCTCCATCCCTCTCTTCCTCACTCCCTTGCTCCCCTCGACTCTCCCCACTTCCTGCCCGCTCCCACCACAGGAGGTGCTGCGGTGGCTGGAAGAGGTCAAAGCCGACGTGGGGGAGGAGGCAGGCAAGGACGAGCTGAGGGACTTCGTGTGGCGCACGCTGCAGAGAAACCACCCTCCCTCTCTCTCCCCCTCCTCTTTCCACTCATGTCTTGCCCCCACCACAGGAAGTGCTGCGGTGGCTGGAAGAGGTGAAGGCGGACGTGGGGGAGGAAGCAGGCAAGGACGAGCTGAGGGACTTTGTGTGGCGCACGCTGCAGAGTGGAAAGGTGGTGCCGGGCTATGGCCACGCTGTGCTGAGGGTGACTGACCCCCGCTACAGCTGCCAGCGCCAGTTCGCACTAAAGCACCTCCCGCACGACCCCACCTTTAAGCTGGTGCGTGATTTGCTCTATTCTAGGAGTTCCCAAGGTGGGCCGGGGTATGGTCATGCTGTTCTGAGGGTGACTGACCCCCGCTACAGCTGTCAGCGCCAGTTCGCTTTGAAGCATCTCCCTCACGATCCGACGTTCAAGCTGGTAAGCCTTGTTGTTTCCCATAATGATGGCAAGGACGAGCTGAGGGACTTTGTGTGGCGCACGCTGCAGAGCGGCAAGGTGGTGCCGGGCTATGGCCACGCGGTGCTGAGGGTGACGGACCCCCGCTACAGCTGCCAGCGCCAGTTCGCTCTCAAGCACCTGCCTCATGATCCGACCTCCAAGCTGGTAGGTGAGATGCTTTAAAATTTGGAGTTCCCGGGGTGGTGCCGGGCTATGGCCATGCGGTGCTGCGGATCACGGACCCGCGCTACAGCTGCCAGCGCCCGTTTGCTCTTAAGCACCTGCCTCACGACCCCACGTTCAAGCTGGTGAGTGTCTAATTCTTCTATTAGGAGTTCCCAAGGTGGTGCCGGGGTATGGCCATGCTGTGCTGAGGGTCACGGATCTCCGCTACAGCTGCCAGAGCCAGTTCGCTCTCAAGCACCTGCCTCACGACCCCACGTTCAAGCTCGTGAGTTGTTCTTCTTTCTTTACCATGACTCGTTGAGGTCCCAAGGTGGTGCCGGGGTATGGGCACGCTGTGCTGAGGGTGACCGATCCCCGCTACATCTACCAGCTCCAGTTCATTCTCAACCTCTACGAGGTGGTGCCTCACATCCTGCTCGAAACCTTCAAGGTGAAGAACCCCTGGCCCAACGTGGACGCGCACAGCATCACTGCCACTCACTCCCCACCTTTCTCTGTGCATTGTCTCCCCCATCCTTCTCTCTCCGTGCTGCAGGTATCCAACCTCTACGAGGTGGTGCCGCACATCCTGCTCGAGACCGGCAAGGTGAAGAACCCCTGGCCCAACGTGGGCGCTCACAGCAGCACTGCCCCTTCATCCCTTTTCTTCCCTTATTCTGCCCTCTCGCCTCCCCATTCTCCAGGTGTCCAACCTCTACGAGGTGGTGCCTCACATTCTCCTTGAAACAGGCAAGGTGAAAAACCCCTGGCCCAACGTGGACGCGCACAGTGGCGTGCTGCTGCAGCACTATGGGCTCACCGAGGCCAGGTGGGTGGCTCCGTTTGTCTTTAGTGTGTGGCTAGCTTGTTTGTCCTCTGCTGCAGCACTACGGGCTCACCGAGGCCAAGTGGGTGGCTCCGTTTGTTTCTAGTGTGTGGCTAGCTCGTTTGTCCTCTGCTGCAGCACTATGGGCTCGCTCAGGCCAGGTGGGTAGCTCCGTTTGTCTTTTAGTGCTGCGCCCCCTAGTGCACCACGCTCAGTGTTCAGTGCTGCTCGTCACATCATCTATCTCTGAACGACCTTTTCTCCCCCCCCTTTTTGTCTCCCTCCACTTCCTCTCCTCGTCCCCCACCCCCCCTCTCTCTCCCCCCACTTCCTCTCTCTCCCCACTGTTCTCGCTCCTCTCTCTGCCCCATACCCCCCCCTGCAGCTACTACACGGTGCTCTTTGGAGTCTCGCGAGCCATGGGAGTGCTGTCTCAGGTGGGTCTGTTGCTCTCAGGTGCTGTCTCAGGTGGGTCTGTTGCTCTCAGGTGCTCCTTCAGGTTGTTTGCTGGACAGGTATGCTACTCTCATATGCAGTTCCAGGTATGTTCACAGTTGTGTTGTTGTTGCTGAGACAGTGACCTCCAAAACTGTTTCGCCTTGCAACGCTCCCCCCTTCTCCCCTCCCTTCTCCTCTGCTTTCCTCCCTCTATCCCTTCTTATCCTTCCCAACCTCGTCTTCTCATCCCCTCCACTTGCACCTCCTCCCACCTCGCTCCCCTCCGCTTCTGCCTGCAGCTCGTGTGGGACCGCGCCCTGGGTTTCCCCATAGAGCGCCCCAAGAGCATCACGCTCGACTGGAAATTGCATCACCATTTCTGGCACCTTTCCTTTGCTGCTCAAACCCATCTTTCCCCATCTCCCTCACCCGCAGCTCGTGTGGGACCGCGCCCTGGGTTTTGCCATAGAGCGCCCCAAGAGCATCACGCTCGACTGGATCGAGGAATTTGCATCGGACAAGGCGCATAAGGAGGAGCAGCACGCGCACGAGCACAAGCACTAGAGAGGGAAGGGGCAGCACGCGCATGAGCACAAGCACTAGAGGGGAGGAGCATCGGAAGAGACTATAAGCATGTGGCGCACACACGCACACAAGCTCATCCCGTTCCCCATCATCCCACACCCCCATCTCATAACTCCATCCCACAAGCCCATCATCCCATGAGCACATCCCACTTGCCACCGTTGCTCAAATCAAACACACCCATCCCACACCCATCCCACACCCATCCCACACCCATCCCACACCCCTCCCACACCCATCCCACACCCATCCCATACCCATCCCATACCCATCCCACACCCCAAAAGCAGATGACCGGCAAAGAACCATCATATCTATCTCTCACATCACATCCATCCCCCATCCCACCTCCTCCTCGACCATCCCCGGGCTAGTAAATAGAACCTCCCATCACCCATCCATCCATCCATCCATTCATGCACCCATGTCCATGCCTGTGCATTGCTCTCCACCCATCCCCCTTTCACTATCCCCCATGACTAAGAGTTACCATGTCTTAGCCACTCTAGCACTAGGCGCCGTGTACACAGCAGTGTTCCTGTTTACCTCATGTGTTTTAGATTATTACAGCTGTATATTTTGAATGTAGCTATGAAATGAGGACAGAAAACACGTCTATCACTGGTTCTGGCTCTCAAATGAAAGTATCAACAAGAGGGAGTTGACTGCCTAGAAAGATGGGTACTCATACTCTTTTTTGCATGAGTGCAGTGCAGCAGCAATCGAACAAACTCCCCTAGGCATGCTATGCATAGGGGCGGCATACATCAGAGGTCATGATGGCACCTTGGCAGAATATGTTACTACATACCATTATAATATGAAACATAATATTATAGAATCAACACATGAAATATGTACAGCAGTGTTCCAATCATGTGCATACCTCCCTGCGAATCTCACTCCACACCTCACTGCACACCCCTCAACCCCTCCACACATGCGCGTACCCTTCCCACCCTTTCATACTTCTCCGCATTTTCCCCAACCCTGCAGTTTGTATTTGCTGCACCCGCCCTCCTGTCAACCCCACCATCACCCCCACCTCCTGCACAGTCTTCCTCACCTCAATGCTCCTCCCCTCTTGCTTTGCACAACAGACAATGATTTGCCGCCCCTGTTGCCGCCCGGCGCCGCCCCCAAGCCCGTTGCCCCCACAGTTGCAATCAGCCGAGCAGCCATCCGTCAGGAGCAAATCACTTGGGCGGCAAACGATGGAGAGAGGATCTGCCGGGCAGCAATCTTTCAGAAGGGAATCGTCTGGGCGGCAACCTTCCAAGAAAAAATCAGCCGGGCAGCAATCTTCGAGGTTCGCCGGGCAGCAGTCTTCCAAAAGAGAATCTGGCAGGCCGAATCTGAGTTGAATGATGGCTCGCTCTTTGGGTGAGAGCCCGAGAATGGCTTGCTTCAATGCCCCCTGCACCTCCTGCTGCATGTAGCGAGTGTCAGGGCACTCTATAGCGGGGTCGGGGATGGTGGACTGGAGGAGGGCGAGGAAGGGGATTGGGAGGAAATAAGTATTGGAAGAGAGGAAAGTGAGCCGGAAGAGAGGGCGAAAAGGGAGTAGTTTGAATGGGACCACTCTCCAGAGCGAATGGAGAGTTGAATCACGGCTCGCTCTTTGGGTGAGAGCCCCAGAATGGCTCGCTTCAACGCGCCCTGCACCTCCTGGTGCATGTAGCGAGTCTCGGAGCACTCTATAGCGGGGTCAGGGATGGTGGACTGGAGGGAGGGATTGGGGGGAAGGGGGAGGATTACGGCTCGCTCTTTGGGTGTGAGAGCCCCAGAAAATGGCTTGCTTCAACGTGACCTCCAGCTCCTGCTGCACGTATCGAGTCTCGGGGCACTCTATAGCGGGGTCAGGGATGGTGGACTGGAGTGGGGCGAGGAAGAATAAGTATTGGAAGAGAGGAAAGTGAGCCGGAAGAGAGGGCGAAAAGGGAGTAGTTTGAATGGGACCACTCTCCAGAGCGAATGGAGAGTTGAATCACGGCTCGCTCTTTGGGTGAGAGCCCAAGAATGGCTTGCTTCCACGCGCCCTGCACCTCCTGCTGCATGTAGCGAGTCTCAAGGCACTCTATAGCGGGGTCAGGGATGGTGGACTGGAGGGGGGGAAAGGTGGGGCGTTCAATTTTGGGAGGTGGGGGAGGTGGGGGAGGTGGGGGACGAGAGGAAGGTGGGCTGAACGGGATGAATGGGATGCGAGAAACATGAGAGCAGAAGGGCGATTCGCTTTACAGGGGCATGCTTATAGACCAGGAAGCATGACGCATGGTACATGGTATATGGTGCATGATGCATGGTGCATGGTACTTGGTACATGGTACATGGTACACGGGACATGGCAAACTCAAGGCTATGGAACACGCATGTACACTCAATGCACATGACCTATGTCTCACACACTCACCTACACTCAATATACATGACCTATGTCTCACACACTCACCTACACTCAATATACATGACCTATGTCTCACACACTCACCTACACTCAATATACATGACCTATGTCTCACACACTCACCTACACTCAATATACATGACCTATGTCTCACACACTCACCTACACTCAAAATACATGACCTATGTCTCACACACTCACCTACACTCAAAATACATGACCTATGTCTCACACACTCACCTACACTCAATATACATGACCTATGTCTCACACACTCACCTACACTCAATATACATGACCTATGTCTCACACACTCACCTACACTCAATATACATGACCTATGTCTCACACACTCACCTACACTCAAAATACATGACCTATGTCTCACACACTCACCTACACTCAAAATACATGACCTATGTCTCACACACTCACCTACACTCAATATACATGACCTATGTCTCACACACTCACCTACACTCAATATACATGACCTATGTCTCACACACTCACCTACACTCAATATACATGACCTATGTCTCACACACTCACCTACACTCAATATACATGACCTATGTCTCACACACTCACCTACACTCAATATACATGACCTATGTCTCACACACTCACCTACACTCAATATACATGACCTATGTCTCACACACTCACCCCAAGACTCTCCCTGCTCCCCTCGTCCCCTTCCAAAGTGGCTTTTGAGTCAACTCACAAGTCACCTTCTCGAACACTCACCCCAAGACCCTCCCCTGTCCCCGCATCCCCTTCCAAAGACCCAGGCTATTTTTGAGTCGACTCAAGAATAATTTCACACTCACCCCAAGGCTCTCCCCGCTTCCCACGTCCCCTTCCAACGACCAAGGCTATTTTTAAGTGGACTCAAGAATAGTTTCACACTCACCCCAAGGCTCTCCCCTGCCCCCGCGTCCGCTTCCAACGATCGAGGCGAGCGCACAGATCCCGGGGTGAGTCTGCGCTTCTGCTTTGACTCGAACGGCGGTGCTGACATGGATGGCTGTGCTGACGTGGACGGTGGTGCTGACGTGGATGGTAGTGCTGACGTGGATGGCTGTGCACGTTGACGGCGGGCGAGCATGTGCTGACGGTGCATGTGCGCCTGAAGGGAAGAGAAGGGGGATTGGAAGCAGGAGATTTTGGGAACGTGAGTTGGTGGAGGGGAGGATAAGGGCAAAGGGAGAGCGAGGGATGGAAAGGGGGGAGAGGGGCAGGAAGAATGAGTGGAAAGGAGACCTTATTAAAGATGATGTGAGAAGATGAGATGTCAATGGGAGGGCATGAATTGAATCAGCAACGGCCGATTGGAGGCAGTGTGGTGAATTAATCACACATGGCATCTCATGACACGTGGCATCTCTGCATTGGCAGATCTGCTTATCCTCTGCCACACATGTGAATCACGACAGATTGTGTATGTGCAAGAATTATGGCATGAGGTCAAGGACATGTGTATGTGCCACGTGTATCTATGTGCTTGTGCCACGTGGCACTCACAGGGAGCTTGATTATGGACGATTGGTCCACGGATGATTGGATGATGCTGTGTCGGATCCACCAATAGCAGTACGTGGAGAGCCGTAATCCACGGCCAGGATCGAATCTCTCTATACCCTTTATAAGCCCCCCGTATCCCGCCTGTTGCAGGGACGAGACAAAGCGTGAACATAGCAACAGAATGTATGGAAGCGACAAAGACTGACAAAAATCCTGATGAACATTGAACAGTAATGACGACAACACAAAGAATAAATAAGCCACCTAACATCTCATCTCACTGCAAACAAGTTGACGATAAACTATGTATCATGTTGCTCACTATAATATACCCTCACCTGAATCTTCTTTCAATATAGTCATCTCTTACCGTGATCAAGATTCTCACAGTCGCTCCCCTCGCGTGTATCTCTGCACAGTCTCACAGTCTCTGCACCAGACCAACCACCATCCCTCCACACGCAACTCCTCACCTCAATCACCCTCAAATGTAATCAACCTGTATTCGTTAAAGTCACATCTTACCACGATCAAGTTCCCCATAGTCACTCCCCTGCTCGCATATCTCCGAGCCAGAGCCTTAACCATCCCACCATTCGCACCCAGCAGCTTCCCCATCCCCTCCCTCCCCCTCTTCTCCGTCTCCCACTCCTCCTTCACCATCCCCTCCCTCTCCATCCTCTCCCTCTCATACTCCTCTCTCCCCCTCCCCTCCGTCCCCCACTCATCCGTCCCCCTCTCCCCCCTCCTTTTCTTCTCAGTGGCCGTCTCTGCAGGCAAGGTCGCGTGCTGGGAATCCTGAAACGAACGCCACTCGACCGCACTGCACCGCTCTCGCGACCTCCTTAATCTCAGCAGATCCTGCACGGCCCGGACGTACTTAATCTCCTCCTCGCGCGTCAGCCGCCGTGCCTCCTTCGCCCACATGAGGTGCAATGACGATCCGAGACCTCTGGAACCCACACCTATCGGATGCACATGACACATCTGTAGGCTCACTCGTCTGTCCGAAAAACTCCGCAGCTCATCTTGAAGATGCTGCTGCTCGCTCCTTCGCCGCTGGTTTGGCCTCTCGCGCGTCACAACCGGTTTGATTCCCTGCTCGGGCGAGCTTTGACTTGAAGTCCCCACGACTTGCTGCTGCTGCTGCTGCTGCTGCTGCTGCTGCTGCTGCTGCTGCTGCTGCTGCTGCTGCTGCTGCTGTGGCTCGCTACTCCACCGCGCTCTCCGCTGCGCTTTAGGCGACTTAGGCGATTTACGAGAGTTTAAAGACGTCTCACGCGGCTTACGAGAGGCTACGAGGAGTTTCAGGGCCGGATTCGCGCCGGATCTCGCTCGCGACGGGTCCGCTATTTGAGACGTCGCAAAAGTCGTTTCAGGCGACTTGGCAGACTTACGAGAGGCGGCTACGCGGAGTCTCGTCGCGTGATCCGCGCCGGATCTCGCACTTGACGGGCCCGCTATTTGAGACGTCTCAAAAGTCGTTTGAGGCGACTTAGTAGCCGACTTGCGCGAGGCGGCTACGAGGAGTCTCGTCGCCTGATTCGCAACGGATCTCGCTCCTGGCTGGTCCGCGCGCGCGTTGTTGGCGAAGGGCGCCGACCGAGCAGCCGCGTGGAAGGATGCCATTGGCTGGAAGCGGCGCTCACGATGTGGCCTACGGAGCGGGCAACAAGTGCGTGCAACCGTCTAGGCGCGTGCAACCGTCTAGGCACGAGCAACCGTCTCGGCGCGTGCAACCGTCTCGGCGCGTGCAACCGTCTAGGCGCGTGCAACAAGTGAGAAGTAGTGGGCTGGTTTCTCTAGGCGCGAATATTCTCCCCAGCACTACTTTTGAATCCTCCGGCAGACTGTGACGTAAGGGACGATATGTTTGCCGCCTCTGAAGTTAGCTCAGATCGAAGCTGCCAGCAGCCTAGAGGTTGCCGGGATCGTCTAGTCGATGCATAAAATCTGGGCGTGCGGCAATGAGCTGCAAAAGAAAGAGGGATCTAGGACCCATAGAGTTAGAAACTCCGAGCTCGACACATGCAACAAATCTAGAAGCTGATGCTGAGAAATGCAATCACCAGATGTGATAAATCTACCTACGATAAGAGGCTCTCCGCGGTTAATGTATTATTCGGTGTTTTGGATTCAATGAGGTGTGGATAGAAAAACAATGGCGGTGTTCGCCAGCACCTTTGAAAGCAAAAACGACGGAAAACGACGGGATCAGGAAGGTCGGTCTCGCCTTCCTGATCCCGTCAGTTAGGGTTCGTTAAGCTCCGTCAGGCTGGTCAGCCCGTAAAAATACTGCCGAGCCTCTTATGCCGTCCGATCCAAATGGAACTTTGGTGCCTGGCGAACGCCCTCACTTTTCTCAAATTCCGGACAGCATCATGGCATTCGGAAATGGGGAAGTGATTTCCTCCCCGGGCAAACGAAAAGTCCCATGCCATCCCATGGCAATCCACCATTTCACGGTGGATTGCCGTGGGATGGCGATGTCATTGGCTGTCAGAGGCTAGAGTAAGAAGGTGGGGAGGCAGTTTCCATATGTGGTTGTCACGTTTCCCATTTCGGGGCCCGTAATTTCGCGAGTGGCATTTCGCCCAAACCTCTTCGGAGGGTTCCGGCCCCGCTTCCCGATGCCGTGGCCATTCCGATGCCTTTGATGTTATAACCGAAGGATCGTAGTGGATAGAATAAAGCTGCTAAGTATAGAGGAGAACTTGTAAAGTCTCAGTAATGACCTTGTTGATAATTTGAAAGAGAACAAGATGAATATTAGATAAGAGTACAAGAGTATAAATAGCAAGCCTAACTAGCCATGTACTCTGAGGGGTACATTCCCTTATTAACTGAATTGCATTGCTACAGTAACCCACGACTATTGCTATTCTAGACAGTTACCATGTTGAGAAGATTTGAACAAGAATGAATGAACTATGAATGAAGTGAGTACATATAGGAAACCCTAATTGGGTTGTACCCCCTATGGGATACCCCACTATAGCCTACACAACAGCATAAGCTATATATATGTTCTGACACACCCCCATAGGCAAAGTGGGGGAGAACAAGGGGTCACAAGACCAGTCACGCAAAGCACAGCAAGCTCAGGGTGGATCACAAAGTCACCACACAGTCCGAGCACAACGACAAGGCCACAAGGCCAGTTCACATGCAGGAGTGCACATATATATATAGAGCTAGACAAGCAAGAGCATGTATATATATGTGACAGTACAAGCAAGGTCAAGAGGAGAGCAAGTGAGGCAAGACAGGTACAAGACCCAGCTGAGTGCAGAAGCGCTGATGGTCACAAGGCGCAAGTGCCTTGGTGAACACATCAGCAGTGTTGGCCTCAGAGGCCACGTACGCAAGTCGCAACTGACCACGCTGCTGCAGCTCACGAGCAAGAAAGTAACGGAGAGCAATGTGCTTCGTTCTGTGCTCCAAGCGCTGCTCTCGACACAAGGCCAGCATGGCCTTGTTATCTACGTACAGCACTGGAGGAGAACGAGGCGGCTCTCCAAGGTCAGTCAGCAGGTAGGTGAGCCAGCGAAGCTCCTGTGCAGCCATGGCCCCGGCGTAGATCTCAGCCTCACAACTGGAGCTGAGAACAGAGGACGAGCGAGTAGCCCGCCACGAGACAGAGCCGGAACCAAGACTGAAGGTGTAACCCTGCGACGACCGCTGCGTAGCCTGGTCGTCAGCCCAAGAAGCGTCCGCGTGCCCAGTGAGGACCACTGGACTCCGCCCTCCAAGCACTAGCCCCATGCCCGACGTACTGCACAAGTAGCGCAACACCCTCTTCGCTGCAGCCATGTGCTCTGGTCGGTGTCTCCCAGGAGCAACATAGCGTGCAAGAATGCTAAGAGGGTATGCAAGGTCAGGTCGTGTGCAGGTCATCAGGTACATGAGGCAGCCAACAAGCTCTGGGTACGGGCCACTCGACTCTACGGACTCATCCGAAGGCAGAGCTGAGAGCGAGTGGCGAGTAGACAGAGGAGTGGCCTGAGGCGAGGAGTACGTGAAGCCGAAGCGCTGAAGGACCTGCTGCACCATGTGTGACTGAGTCAAGGTAATGGTGCGGCGTGCTCTGTCCCGAGTGATCTGCAAGCCAAGGTAGCTGCGCAGTTCACCCAGGTCTGTGCACGTGTGTCTCTTCTGCAGCTCGGACTTCACGTGGGCGAGTCCAGCAGTGTCAGCTGTGGCAAAGACCAAGTCGTCGACGTACACGAGGATGTAGAACGGCGGCAAAGAAGTGTCGGTGCGCAGAAACAACGACGGGTCAGCCGTAGAGGGAGCAAACCCAAGAGCCGCAAGCGTAGTCCTCAGTGTGTCGTGCCACTCACGCGGTGCCTGGCGGAGACCGTAGACTGGCCGTCGGAGGCTCCACTGGGTGCCAGTAGGGAAAGTCCCAGTGAAGCCAGGTGGACGGCGCAGCCAGATCTCCTCGTGCAGGCTACCCTGCAAGAAAGCAGTGCTGAAGTCAAGAGAGTGGAGCTCGTAGTCGCGCTGAGCGGCTATGTGCAGCAGCACCCGAAGAGTGGTCATCTTCGGGGTGGGAGAGAAGGTCTGAAAGTAGTCAACTCCCTGCCGCTGACTGAAGCCACGAGCGACGTACTGCGCCTTGAAGACAGGTGGAGAGCCCGGCGGCCGCTTCACCCTGAAGATCCACATGCCACTGACGATGTTCGCCCCAGGAGGGGGAACCGCGTCAACGTAGGTGCCTGTGGACTTCCAGGACGCCATCTCTGAATCCATAGCTGCCTGCCACTGAGAGGAGTAGGGACCCTCTACGGCCTCCGCGTAAGAGCGCGGAGTCGGGATGTCTAGTGCATCCGGGTCTCCCTCAGGGGCAAGTAGTACGGACGCGAGATGAGGTGAAGCAGCAGCCAGACACTGGAACTCCTCCTGCCTGTCCTCAAGGACGTCCATGCCAAGAGCACACTCACCCCCGACGGACGGAGGACAGACAGACGCAGACTCAGCAACAAGACCGGCAGCGTAGTCTAGACGACAGCTAGCAGCAAAGTCGACGAGCTCAGCAACAAGAGCAGACGCAGCAGTGGACTCAAAAGAGGGGTCAGTGACGACAGTAGCAAGGAGACGTGTGACAGTAGGACTAGCAGCACGAAGAGAGTCGGACTCTGGGTCGGTAAGTGCAGGAAGGGAGGACTCAGGAGGAGAAGGCAAAGGGGCACGCAGAGGAGCAGTGGACGGACGCAAAGACATCCGGTGCGTGCCAGGGACAGGAGGAGGACGCTGACGCGAACCGCGACCACTAGCGCGAGCAGCACGAACAGGCGACGCAGGACGAGACGCAGGCTCACGACGCTCAGCAAGACCTCCAGTGGGACCAGTGTAAGGAGAGGGAGCAGGAAGTGGGGAGGCGGGCTCTAACTGGGACTGTGACTGAACAGGCTGTGGACACGCTGCAGGAGGAGAAAGACCAAGAACCTGCTGTAGGAGTGGAACGAAGTACGGCCGAGGCCGCGCGGCGACCCCAGACACAGCAGGGACAGCACCCTCAGCAGCAGCACCAGCGCCAACAGCACCTCCAGCTCCAGTACCTCCAGCAGCACCAGCAGTACCCGCAGCAGGACCACCGCCAGGAAGGACAGCAGCAGTCTCAGCACCAACACCCGCGGCAGCTCCAGCTCCAGGCGGACCCGAGGGCCCAGCAGCTCCGGGACCAGCGGCACAAGTACCCTCAGCAGCCGAAGGAGCTCCAGCTCCAGCAGTACGTCTCCAGCGGCGAGCAAACCACTCGCGCAGCTCCTGTGGAGAGAGGGGCTCCCGCCGAGGCGAAGCACCCTGAGAACCGCCAGGTCCCGCACCGCCAGACGCCACAAGGGGAGGTCCAGTGGCCGCAGGCTCCGCAGCTCCAGGCTCAGTAGCTCCAGACGCAGCACCCCCTGGCTCAGCACCCCCAGTCACAGCACCCCCAGGCTCAGCACCCCCAGACTCCGCACCCCCAGGCTCAGCACCCCCAGTCGCAGTACCCCCAGGCTCAGCACCCCCAGACTCAGCACCCCCAGGCTCAGCACCCCCAGGCTCAGCACCCACGCGCGTAGCACCCCCAGAGTCAGCACCCCCAGGCTCAGCACCCGCAGCAGGACCAGAGTCACCAGCAACCTCGACCGGCTCGACTGCGTCTACCTGGGACACACCTGAAGGGGCAGGACCCTGAGGGGGAAGGGGGTCTACCGGGGGGGGACCTGGCACAAGGAAGTGCGGTGGCGGGGGGAGGGAAGGAGTGCGGTAGGGGAAGAGGCGGTAGAAGGGGACTGACTCGTCGAACGTGACGTCCTGGGAGGACAGAACACGACGAGAGGAGGGGTGGTAGAACTGCCACCCTGGGGCGTCAGGGGGGAAGCCGAGGAAGACACAGGGAGCAGCACGAGGGGACAGCTTGTCCGCAGACAAGTCGCGGACAAACGCCCGAGATCCCCAGACACGGAACGCAGACGCATCGCCGACCTTCCCCGTCCACAGCAGAGCTGGGGAGGTCTCCGGCCGGGAGACCCTGGGGTGAAGGTTGATCTGATGCGCCGCGTACCGAACCGCAAACGGCCACAGAAAATGGGGGGCAGCCGCATGCATCATGGACGTACGAGCGACGTCCATGACCATGC